CACTCATTGGTCGAACATCTAATTGCCATACTCTCATTGTTTGATCCATTCAAACGAATGAAATCGGGATCGGTCTATTTGCTGGAGGGTGTTGACACCTCCATGCTGGTTGGTTGAACCGGGAATAATTAAGCACAACAACAGATCGCACTACGCCTGCGCGAAACCGCGGTTTCTGTTGGATGCTTGGCTTGGTCAACGTTACATCAAAATTTCGTCTGTTGAATATGTTTTCCATAATAACATTTCAAAACTAAATAATCACATACGCTAACACGACCGTTTTGCAGGAGTGCTATGGATTGACTGAGTGTCAGTGTGAAAAGCCACAGACGTAAATACATAAATTAACAATGAATGAAAACACAAATTCACAGAACCTTGAAGTTCCTCACATGTTTAAAATGCCTTATTTCTGTCTGTATTTTGTAGAATGAAGCTGGTTGTAGTTGTGTCTATCGGAGAGAAGCGAGGTCAGTGTGTTCACGTGACGTCACGCTGTCTGTGGGACCTCCAGCGGGACAACTTCGCCACGGCGTCATTCCACAACGAGGCTCTGTACGCCACAGGGACCGTGTTCGGGGTGTATTACGAATAATCTGTGGAATCATTATGTAGCAAGTTTTACTGTAAGTTCCAACGCACGAAATTGGACTCACCCACATTTTCGACTGTACAACTCCAGTCTTTGTCAAGGAATGAGCTTGTGACGTCATGGTCTGTACTATGGTCTACAAGTGCTTACATGCGCGTGCACCTGATTATCTGCTGCACTGCTTCAATTATAATCATCAAACCCATCAGTACAAAACAAGACAAGCGAATCTACTACGCAAACCCAAATACACAAACAGCTGGATTGCGAACATTTAAGTTATAACTTGTTATATGACGAAACTAAACAGGTAAACACCTTGAATGCTTTTAAGAGAGCACTAAACACATGACCCCTGACCTCACGGACTGACTTATCTTTCGACTGGGATGATACGGACTATGCTTATGCCTTATGATTTGACTATTTGCTTTGGTTCACATTTCTTGTTTCTTATGATTAATTACTTGTACTCTTTGACTCTTTGTTCATATTATACATCATCTCTATGTTTAATTATTTAACTATTGTTGTGTTAATTTTTTCCCACACTATACTTAATGTCATTTATGTCTAATAGTGGTATGTCCTCTGTAACTGTTCTGTTAGGCTTCTTTGGAAATCAATATTGTCCAAAACTGAAGGTACCACCCAACTTTTTTCAAGATCAATAAATGAATAAATAAAATAAAATGCCATTCAGAGAACACACGTGACTCAGTAGTGTTGCAGAAAGTCTATGGCGCCCCCTGTCTTTGTAGAGGTACATGTATTGTCGCCCATAGTAAAAAAAAAACAACAAAACTCGACAACAATCGGCAGTAAGTGGCATGAAGTTTATTCAAATCTTAGAAATGCACATATCCATTATTATTTCGTCCTGAAAACTTGTTGTGAGCCATCTTATAAAAAGACAAAAACTTAATTTTGTAAATATGCTGGAGTTTTTAGATTTGATCGATCAGTCTGCTCAACTACGTGTGTCCAAGAAAAGATAATGTAATGGTTTCGTATCTACTGCAGATATCAATTAAGCATGCTAGTGTTCAGTTTCAACCAACTCCTTATTAGCTCCGTACGTGTGTGGCGTTAATGTTATACTTATATATTTATGCATAAGTACTTTCCCTAACCACAGATCACAAAGGGTCTAACATACGTAGGTCACAATAATGAATAAAACAATAAATTCACAAAAAATACGACTTCTTGCTGGTTGTTTTAACGTAAATTGGCACATGATTACTTTAAACTTTTCTAACTATTTATTATGACGTTCCGCTACTCTATCAGTACAGAGAAGCGAAGAACAAGCATGGGCATCTTGATCACATTGTGTCAAAATTTAAACAGTATGTGTGCAATATCTCCCTCCAACTTGACCTGAAGGTCAATCTGCGGTACCAAATTCCTTTTGCCACTCAACAGAGAAGCGAAGATGAAGCATCGGTATCTTGATGACTCTGTGACAAAATTAAAACATTGTGGGTGAAGCCATACTTCCTTACAACTTGACCTGGAGGTCAATCTGCGGTACCAAATTCCTTCCTGTTAATATAGGGCATTCAAATATAGCCTGATGACCAGGCCAATTCGATTACCTACGAACACAAGCTCTACTTGGCTCAGTGGCCTATGACTTTCACCCCAGAGATGTTCTTGTTGTCGGCGGGGTCGGTGAAACATTTCCCCGAGAAGTCCGTCATGTTGGTGCACTTCTTGATCTCCGAGTCATCAACCTGGGCAGCGAGAATACAATAAAAGTTTGATAAGTCTGATTGTAACAAAAGTTAGCAAAGGTATTATAATACAAACATGCAAGGGTATAAGCTATATAATTTGAGCTGAAGTACATGTGTGACCTCAACTTATCATCAAAACCCAAAAGAAGCTGCGCCATCTATACGCAAACACCTGCGTCGTCTACACATGCGTCGTCTACGTATGACACCTGCGTTGTCTACGCATGACACCTCCATCATCAACCCATGACACCTGCGTCATCTACGCATGGCACCTGTGTCGTCTACCCATGACTCCTGCGTCGTCTACGCACGACACCTGCATCGTCTACGCATGGCGCCTGCTCCGTCTACGCATGTCACCTGCGTCGTCTACGCACGACACTCGCGTCGTCTACGCATGGCACTTGCGTCGTCTACGCATGACACCTACGTTGCCTACGCACGACACCTGCGTCATCTACCCATGATACCTGCGTCGTCTACGCAGACACCTGCGTTGTCTACGCACGACACCTGCATCGTCTACGCATGGAACTTGCGTCGTCTACACAAACACCGTACCCTACTGACCATGTTGAGCGGTGTGTACGAGGCGTTGTAGTGCTCGTACACGGGGTCGTTGGAGGCCCGGTTGTAAGCGATGAGATATCCCCACCGGATCCGGTTTGACTTGTTCGCGTCGCTCCGGTGCAGGACGTTACAGTGGAAGAAAATGGCGTCACCAGCTTCCAACTCTGCATGCACCACCTCTAGCACCTATTATATAAAAGGGAATGTTTTAAAACGGTTTCTCATAACGAAGGATGTTTGTAACTTATTCACAGAAAGCTTATCCTCTAATTTGCATCTATCGACGCAACAACAGCAAGAACATGTCAATCGTTTATGTAGTATAGGTTTCTACTGAATAGAGGTTCTAAGCATGCTGACCTTTAATTCTATATTGTGTGTTAGCTTGTTTACCTCTGCATACGGAAGTTTTGTTTTGGGTGTGTTTGTCTGTGTGTTTGCTTGTGTCCGTGGATGTCTGATAGCAGTAGCATAATAGCATAATGGCAGGCAAGCTGTGGGGGGGGGTATATCTAGTAGGCAATTTCATTGACAGCATTTTACAGACTTGTTGATTTTCTTTTTACTGTGCAAAACTGGTCAGGTTAACTTGGTCTTCGGAACAGGTCAGCAGTGTACAGGGTATAGTTACAACTTTGGTCACACATAGCCGAATATGGCCTCCCGATCACTGCCGAACTGGCCGTTCGTCTTTACCGATCGTCCGAACCCGCCGATTTTCGGGTGACTTCGGCACCCGTCGGAACCCGCCTTCGGCACCCACTCGGAACTCGAAAACCTCCCGAGCTACAGCCTATGCCCCAACCTTGTTTAGGAGCAAGATTGGCTGGATTTCGGCATTTGGAAAAAAGGTTAAAGTTCTGTATGGTTGTCACTTCGGCTGGGAGTTGTGGTGTAGACCATGTTTCTGTTACGACTGCAATGTCAGATCCAGACGTGCGCAGGATCGCTTGAAACTCACCCATCTTGTTTACAAGCGACCTGGTGTTGGTAAGCAACATTCTTGGCATGTTTCGTGATCGACAAAATATGAATGAATGAATGAATGAATGAATGAATGAATGAATGACTGTTTATTATCGTGCCATTGCGATCAATATGTCGCCCAGCCCATATGGGCTTATAAGGCACCGACAAAATACAAAATCAAAACTAATCAAAAGGTACAGAGAATCAGATATAACATAAATTATAACTTAATATATAATAAATACATGAAATTAAGTAGTACTGGTCATATACAGAAATCAAATCAAATGTAACATAGATGATAAATAATAATAACTTAGGTTCAACCAAAATTGATAATGCATAAAAGTAACAAGAGGTAACTGCCACATGACTGTTACATACAGAGAACCAACTTAACAGAAAAGTGAACAGGTAAACGTAGCGAGGAAAGAGGAGAACCAAACTGAAAATGACACTAAAACGAAATAAGATCTGCCTGTTATGAATAAATGTGGAGTTTACGTTTTTTCCAGGCCTGCTGTAAGTATGTCGCCGTTTCAAACACTCCCTCTGTAAATAACCACTTCAGTTTTGGTTCATCCCTATCCCAGATAAGATCAGGTCGCCTCTTGTACATCGTATCAAAGAGTGCCTGACGTAAGTTGTCATAAAACGGACAGTAAAACATAAAGTGAGCCTCATTTTCTACTTCTTGTAAATCACACAGCAGACATAGTCTGTCCTTTTCTGGAATGCCCCGATATCTTCCCGTGTCAATACACAAAGGTAATATTCCAGATCTAAACTGGGCACAAAGAGATCTTTGTGATCTTGTTAGGGGTAAAGTAACGTATTTTTCTGAAGAGAATGTGTCTTTGATTAGCACGTAAGTTCTCAGTTTTGGTTTAGACCATAATTCAGATGCCCAGTTTTCTTCATATTGAGAGAACAGCACATCCTTGATGAGTCTAGTATTTCTAATATTTTCTTCCCTTGTTCCGACATGATTGGAATCAGGTGTGCTCGTAAAGTAACGTCCTATGATTGGCACTGCCAATCCTGATTTACATGTGAATACGGAGGGGCTTATAAGGGAAATGGCCGACAATCGTGGTGATCTTACGTACCGAGTTTCTCCCGGCCTTTTTCCCCCGAGGTCTGCTTCTCAGGCACAGAATGACAGCCCTCTTTTGGAGGTAAGAATATCGTTTTGTGTACCCTTATCTTAGGGTCAACTGCCATTGTTTAGTCTCTACTATCGTGTAGTCACTACTATTTTTTGTTTGGTCCGTCCTACCATAAAACAAGGTACAGTAATCCACGAGAAGGCTGACTTTGACTTGCTCTCTTGCCTGTGGGTCAACCGTCGGCACAGCACGTCGCAGACTCTTGAGGAAGATCAGTGAGTAACGTAAGATCCCAGGGTACGCCATTGTTCCAGTAACCAGCAGGCCGTCACAGTTACTCAGTTTACAGGGTTCTAGCTAGGATTTAATTTTAGTGTAGTGGCACTGGCCGCATGTCGAGGGGGCGAAGCGACCGTGAGGGGGGGTGCAGAGCTTTTAAAAGTTTGAGCTAAAAAAGAGGCCATTTGAGGGATACCCAAAGGGGAAAATGTTATTCTTAAGGTACATTCAATGTATCCTAGATTGGTGATTTTTCACATTTGATCTGGCATTCTTGAACAAAGAAATACAGTCACAATGCCCCTATGCTGTATTGAAATTGGCGTAGGTGGGGATTTAGCGTAGGGGGTCAAAATCATAGCGTAGGGGGCCCCTGGGCTACTTCGCGCTAGCTAGAACTCTGGTTTAATGGCGTGTTCGGGGGTCAAATTTGACTGAAATTTAGCAAATTCGATTTAATACGTATAGGTACGCGTGGCCTACATACGACCGGACTGCTTGGTTCGGAATGAATTATTACTATTATATCAGATACTACTGTACGAACTCTGATCGAGTCAAATTTTGACACCGAACACAGGTCATCTACTTTTTGTTGTTCAACGTACATCCTTTAGCCAACATATTTACCATGATACGTGTCTTCTTCTTTCTATGTGCACAGGAACCTTGACTAGACCACGGTACAAGTACGTCCTGAAGAAAAAAGATCAAGGAACAGGTCGAGAATTCAAAATGGCGGAAACAGGAAAAGTCAACTTGTTGTGGTGGGTGCTCCTGTGTCTGATCATTCTGTTTCTTCTGGATCTGAACGTGAACTTCACCGGACAGATGTGGGATCGGCCGGACATGGCGACATCTAAACGTCTTCAGAAGCAACGACAAAATTCAAGGTACCGCTTTTTTCTACAAGCAGATGTCTTACTTTTGTCGTGTTTTGGCTCGAATCCTCCATTTACCACCTCTTAGGAGGAAGTTCCACGCTGAAAGCTTCTTTCATTCACTTTGGAATATTGAAAATCTTCTTTCCCAGAACAACATCACTTTGGAATAAGCTACCACATGATTGTTTCCATTATGAGTATAACCTTAAACTTTTCAAGTCTAAGGTCAACAAACATCTGTCCTCACCGGCTGTACTGTAACCCAAAACATTTTGAGTGGCTCTCATGAGCCTTGTTTTGTGGTGACCTATGAAGTAATTTAAAAAAAATAGCGGTGGCTGTCGTCCTATGTTTTCTTTTTGACGTGGGATCTTTAGTTACACCAAGGACATTATACAAATATGTATATAATATCCTTGGTTACACAACCGATATCGTTGACAAAGATTTTCGATGATGTTTTGCATGACGAGGCAGGTGGTAGAATAGTGTACGGCACATACCGGACTATTCCAACATTGTTCTCAATTTGCTGTCTTAATATCGATATCATGCTACTAATGTGGCTAGTCCTCCCAAGAAGTTGTTGTGCTGTTAAATACTGGAATTTTGCTATTTTGATATAATTTTGTTTTTAACTGATTGGTACTTATTCACGATTTGTGGATATTTTCTCTTCATTCGCCTTGATTTTCATTTAAGTATTTCAGTTAATCAGTTTAATTGTGATTGTTTTGTTATGTTTTTAATCTAATTTACTTCACCTTTTTTGTGCGAAATAAATAAATAAATAAAACGTATTTCATTTTTGAAATATCAAGGTAGAATGAAAGAAACAAATTCTACCTCCGAGGCACGGAGAAGCAATTCCAACTAGTGAGCTAGTTCATTGATTTATAGACGACTATCTGTATATGTGAAAGAATTTGTAAATATTGTAGCGCAAAGACTGTGGAAGACGAAATACACATCTCAAACTGTTCGGTTCATAACCACGCTCTAAATGAGTTGACTATTCAAACTTCTACAATTTCGCTAAACTTACAAAAAAAACCTATTCTTCTTTCAACTTCCCAAAACCCACAAATTTTGACAAAGGTGTGACATTACGTCTTCCATAGTTTACAGAAGAGAAGTCAAACCCTTCAGACATAGTTTTAGACAAATATCTTTCCATCATCATGACATGTAGATTTTAGTTATTCTATACTCTGTTTCAATGTTCCTTTATGTTTGTAATTTGCAATTAGTCTCCGGGTACGAATGTGCAATTACCTTCTATTTTATTAATCTTGTCTGCAGTGACGCAGTGTTCGGACGACATGACCGACTTGTGACAGCGGCAGAGAACGTGACATCTCTCACGTCTCTCCCGTCGGAACTCGGGACCATGGGGCGGAACTGGAGCCTGTCGCCCGGGGACTGTACGGAGCCTGTTACCAACTTTGTTTTTATCAAGGTACGCGCAGGGGCCATTTTGTAACAGTGGGGGGGTTTATAGGCGCTACCAACTGACCTAGGTCTAGATCTTTTAGCCGAATCGTTAGAGCGTCGGGCCCGGGTTTGGCGTGGGTTCGATCCCCGGCCCGGGACCAGGAGTGTCTTTCTCTTTCTACCCTCCTAATTCATACAATTTTACATACACAATGGCATGCAAATGATAAAGGCATCAATCAATGCAATTTTAGGGCGGAAATGTCAGAAATGTGAGGTAATTGCACAAATACGTTGAAAGTAGAAGTAGATGACAACCACACGATAATTTCAGTTTATCATGAGGTCAGCATTTCCAAACCGGGGCCCGGCCGGGTTGTTTGTATGGACGAAAAATCAACAAGTTTCAACAGGAATATACACAAATAGTACTCATGATTATCTTTCAATTTTTTCTGAGTCTGTTGTCTTTTATAGTACCCTTCGTTCCCATAAGCTGCCCGGCCGGGCCCCGGTTTGGAAATGTGACCTCAGCATAAGATTTTTCGGTTTTGGAAAAATGTTACATAATGCCCCTTTAAGTATTTCCAGCCACAGTTGTCGGTTTGCACATTGTAGGTCCACAAGACTGGTTCAGACAGTACTGCCGTCATCTTGCTGAGGTTCGCCTACAACCATCACATGATCATGTGCTATGGAACCAACGGAATGAGACTTACTTTTCCCAGGTGAAAGACTTCTTATTGAAAAGTCCTCAACTAGAATATAACACCGCGTTCCTCTGTCCAACCTCCACTAATATTTTAACGCCATTCATTATGAAGCAAGTTTAAACTGCAATTTCCAACACAACAAATTGGACCCACCCAAATTTTCGACTGTACAGCCATCCCTCAACAGAGACGGGGGGCGCCTCAGACTTTCTGCAACCTATGATCCACTGCTCACGGAGTCATGTGTGTTATCTGCATGATGTCACGGAAGCGGTGGATTGCTCATTCCTTGACAAAGACTGGAGTTGTACAGTCAAAAATTTGAGGGAGTCCAATCTGTTGTATTGGAAATTGCAGTTTAAACTTGCTTCATAATGATTTCTACCAACACAAATGAATTTTCAAGATAAAACGCCATTCAATTTGGATCTCAAATTTGTCAAGCCGCTTAAAACCTGCTGTGTCTTGCCAATATGTGTACAGAAACAGGAAGGAATGTTTTCTTTCGAATGAGGCGCTAAATGTTACGACTTAATTTTTCATCCATGAAAAATGGAGGTATTGTTTTTGGTAAATGAAATTATTAAAATTTCATGCCCGAGGGCTAATTGCAAGAACAAAAGGAACAGGCAATTAATACACAGAGAACTACCGGTTGTTTTTGGTATGTGTGTGTGTGTGTGTGTGTGTGTGTGTGTGTGTGCGCGCACATGTATGTGTGTGCTTGCGTGTGTGTGTGTGTGTGTGTGTTTCCGCATGGCCCTTAGGTTTAAGTTGTAATTGGTATGGCTGGGTTCAGTTTGTCCCAGAGTGAGAACGTCATTAATTATTTGTACATCTTATTTCGCTCTTTGCTTTCACGTGTTTTTCATTACATGACCTCCTTGACAGCCAACAGCAGGTGTTTTTGTTACATGATCTCAATTTGACAGCTGTTTCCCTTGCATGAGAAAGAAGGGAATCGCAAAAGGAGATAGCATACGGGTTATGTTGCATTAGACTTGACCCTTTTTCATGACACAAATTAGTTACTATGTAAATATTTGATGGTCGTCTGTGGTCTCAGAATTCTTGTTAAAGGTAGAAAGTTGGTAAGGCCATGTTGATTTGATTATATGGATGACATCCAGTGGGAACCCCAAAACTGATGCGAGCGTGCGAATAAAAAAAGGTTTGGCCCAACAAAAAGTTGTTTTCACTATGAAATCTACATGGTTTTGAAGGTTGAACAAATGAGTGTAGTTTGGCAAATAATCTAGTCTTCAAATTTGTTTCTTTACACTTTTGTCTTTTTCGTTTGATGTTCGCATTCTACGACATTGGTATCGTTTTCCAATGTTTTTTTTCACCTTACGGTATATATTTGCCCATTTTGCAACTGTTGTTACGATTTACACTATTGTTGAAAACATTTTTTGGAAACGGCCGAAAATACATGCGAGGGTGGCCGTGGATGTCATCCATATGATCAAATCAACATGGCCTAATCGTAACGTCGTTTGAAATCAAACTGACAAAAGTTGACTGAATTGATTACGTATTTGATAACTGAAAAAAAGTTGTTTTCCTCCATTGATAGGACGGAGATATACAAGTCTAACTGCGCTCGTTGGAAAGTGTTTGAGGATCGCTTCAATTTCCTCGTACAGCACACCGTCTTCAACAAGACACTGATGGACCGGATCATGACACCGGGCACCAGGTACATCGGAATCATGCGTGAACCTCTCAGCCACTTCCGTTCACAGTTCTTCTACTTTGAAAAGCCCCTCCGCTACGGGTTAACGAAAAGTCGGAATCCGCTGGGAGACTTTCTGGATAACCCCGAGCGGTATGAACATGAACTGGCGCTGACGGAAAATATAGGGAGAAGTAGGGAAAGAAACAAGCAAGCTTACGTCATGGGTTTCCCGCCAAATCTCCTCGGTACACAGGACACTAGGCTCATGGATAATCTAATCAAGCAGCTCGACCAATGGTACACCTTCGTCATCATCAGCGAGTACTACGATGAGTCTCTTGTCATGTTGAGGCGGAGGTTGTGTTGGGGTTTGTTCGACATACTGCACTCCACTAAACATGTCAACAAGCAACACAATCGACAGGAATACGTCCCCCTCACGGACCAACAGTTGGAGAATCATAGAAGAATCAACACCATTGACTTGAGAATGTACGACTTCTTCAACAGGACATTCTGGAGGAGCGTGGAGCAGGAAACGCGAAAGGGATTCTGGGAGGAAGTGACGTACTTCAAAGACGTGGTGAAAAGAGTCAACACTTTCTGCTCCAAACGTACGAAAGAGAAGCATTTAGAAATTCCTATCAGTAAATGGAATGAGCCATTCTCAGTCAATGGCGACTTTTGTGAAGGTTTGAGTCGGAATCCGAAAATATGGGCCAAGAAATTGTTTGATCAGATGATTCAGAGTGTTAAGAAAAAACATCTATAAATCTTGCACGAAAGTACTTAACAAATGTACCTGAGAGCTAAATTCCCCTATTACCTTCGTCAAAAAGGTTGTGTATTTTGTACACCATGTATAGGAGTTGGCGATTTTCGAACGGTTTAAAACTTTTGCTGTGGTCCTTGGCTAGACGAGACAGGAACTTGTGGGGGCAGTACATGGCGTCATCATAAGGACGCACTGAACTGAACTGAACTGCATTTATCTTGAATTCATATTTCGTAGATAGATTAGGGTGGGATCGGGGTTGAGTCAACGTCAATTATGGGTAATCTAGCGACTTTGTAGGGTACTGCAGAGATGTACCTGGTATGAATAATAAAATCTCGTGTTAAGTGGGACATAATTAGCAGGTGTTTGCTTTACAAAACTAGATACCTGGCATACATGTAGTTGTCAGCGAAATAGCTGCTATTTGTAAAAACTATTGTGGGCCTTTTAAGTCGGAATTTGACCAGACAGATCAACTTCTGATTTTGTGGATATTTTTTCACAATACTTTGTAGGTAGGTTGGTGTGGGAAATACGAAGGTCAAATTTGATTATGGGCATTCTAGTGGCTTTTTAAGACGGTTACACAGATAGTCACACAGGTGTGTGTGCCGTGGCCATATAGTCATAGTAGTGATGAAATTACATCTACTAGTATGCCAGTATCTTGCCGTATTTTTCTATACATTAGGTTTGGTAAATAGTCTTCAGTTATGGACCAAATATGTTGTAGAATGAAGAACGTTTTGTTTAACCTGCAACCGAACGTATGGAGCCTCGCTGTGCTTTTCTGGACCTGAACATTATTTGCGTGACACAAGTGTTGGTTTACACATATGTGTGAACAGATAACAGTAAGTCCACTTTGCCTTAATTTTATGGATGGCATCCGCCGAAGATCCCAAACTAGTGCGCGCGGGCGAATAGAAAGAATTCCAGCCCAAAAATGCTGCTAAACCACAGGAATACAAAGCTGGTATTGTGAATTTGCGGTAGTACATACTATTAGTAACCTATACGACAAGCCGACACATGCTGGCCTTTTGTGGCATTCATGGGTCGGAACGGAGTTCTGGAGTTCCGTGAGCCTGGGAGGAGGTATTTTTTTCAAAGAGGCGAAAATCAATGCGTGCGCAATCCATACAATTGGACCAGTGTCGCCTAATATCAATAAAAACATGCCACTGACCTTCTCCAAATGCTTGACCCTGCCTAAGTCCGCTCCTGTCTGCCCCGCTACACGTGTGTGATCAACCCGGCCTGCACGGTGGGAGCCCCGCATCACCTGTACATACACATGGAACAAACACTAATGGAGATCTAACAAACAAACAAACAAACAAACAAACAAAGTGTGTCTGTCCCGCCACACGTGTGTGATCAACCCTGCCTGCACGGTGGGAGCCCCGCATCACCTGTACACACACATGGAACAAACACTAATGGAGATCTAACAAACAAACAAACAAAGTCCGTCCCGCCACACGTGTGTGATCAACCCGGCCTGCACGGTGGGAGCCCCGCATCACCTGTACACACACATGGAACAAACACTAATGGGGATCTAACAAACAAACAAACAAACAAAGTCTGTCTGTCCCGCCACACGTGTGTGATCAACCCGGCCTGCACGGTGGGAGCCCCGCATCACCTGTACGCACACATGGAACAAACACTAATGGAGATCTGACAAACAAACAAACAAACAAAGTCCGTCCCGCCACACGTGTGTGATCAACCCGGCCTGCACGGTGGGAGCCTCTCATCACCTGTACGCACACAGGGGAAAAGTTATGGAACAAACACTAATGGAGATAAAGCAAACAAACAAACAAACAAACAAACAAACAAATAAATAAAAAAAAAAACAAAGTATGTGATCAACAAGGCCCGCACGGTGAGACACCCTCATCACACACAGGGGGAGGTTAGGCCACACCAACTTAATTTTATGGATGACATCCGCGCGCGCATTGATTTTCGCCTGTTCTCAAAAAAAAAAAAGATCACGTCTTCCGAGGCTCTGGCCTGGCTTTAGGCCTGGGTAGTACATGGTGGTTAGCGACAACGAAGCCGGTGGTAACTCTGGAGGACGGCACCCAGGCTGCCGAAGCTCCACGACTCAAGAACTCAGTACATACGTACAGTGTCGATTCATAAATTCCACAAAAGCATGTGCAGGCCTGTCGTATACGTCGCAATGTAATGCGCCAAATTCACAATACCAGCTTTGTATTCCTGTAGCATAGTAGCCTTTTTATTTTTGGCCGGATTTTTCTTTTTTTCGCCCGCGCGCACAAGTTTGGGGATCTTCAGAGGATGTCATCCATAAAAATCAAATCGGTGTGGCCTAATGGAACATGCAAACAATGATGGAGATCAAAGCAAAATACACAAACAAACAAACAAAGTATATGATCAACCCAGCCCGCACGGTGGGAGCCCCACATCACCTGTACACACACAAGGGGAGGTTATGGAACAAATAATGATGGAAATCCTAACAAAGCAAACAAACAAACAAACAATGTCCCGCCACATGTGTGTGATCAACGCAGCCCGCATCACCTGTACATACACAGGGGAAGTTGTGAAGAAGGAGAACTAAATTGCACGACAATTGTACATGGTACAATGTATGACAACGACAATTGAACATAAAATATAAAATAAAACTTCAAAAGACATTAATGGAGATCCTGATAAAACAAACAAACGACAAAGAATACAGTATGTCTGCCCCATTTTCAATTTTCTTTCCTGTACCAACCTGAAGACAGCCGTTGTTCTTGTCAGCTCTGTCCATAGCAATGAACACTGTTCCCATGTCCGGAAACAACAGGCCGTTGTTGTACCAGTATCTAGATAGTTCAATAAGCAAATAGTAGATAGGAGATAAATTGTGTAGAAATTGTTAAATGTTAGGTTATGAACACTGATTATTTATATCATGAAAAAAAAGCTACTACTCTTTGGAAATCTTTGGAATATTTCGATCATCTTTAAGGACATTATGTTACATTTCTGCACAAAAATGCATTAATTTCAATGTATTTGTATGTTTGTAATTTACTTCCATTTGTCAACATGTTTGTGCAATTATCTCACATTTCTAATAGTTATGGCTGGCGCAAAAACAGTCCACTCGAGGCTCACTCATTTTGTGGTGCCACCACAAAATACCAGAATGTAAAGTTCACAAACATGGCTTATACTTAATAATAAAATTCTTGTATACAAGTACTACATACGTATATAATTCATGTAAGCTGCACAAACGTATGGTATATAAAAACTCACCCATAGTCCTGGTGCCACAAAAACGCCCCTCCCTGCTCTGGCTCTTTAATGTTGACCTTAGCGTGGTACTGGTAAACCTCTTCTCCAAGGAGCTTGGCAAGAAACATAGCTAACGTTTTTTACCTTGAAAATTCATTTTTGTTGGTAGAAGTCATTATGTAGCAAGTTTAAACTGTAATTTTCAGTACAACAAATTGGACCCCCCCGAAAAAATTTTCGGCTGTACAACTCCAGTCTTTGTCGAGGAATGAGCAATCCACCGCTTCTGTGACGTCACGAAGATAACACACGTGACTCCGTGAGCAGTGGATCATAGGTTGCAGAAAGTCTCCAGTAAGTTGGGACGCCACAGACTTTCTGCAACCTATGATCCACTGCTCACGGAGTCACGTGTTATCTGTGTGACGTCACTGAAGCGGTGGATTGTTCATTCCTTGACAAAGACTGGAGTTGTACAGTCAAAAATTTGGGTGAGTCCAATTTCTTGTGTTGGGAATTACAGTTTAAACTTGCTGCATATCGTTTGTTACGTTTAAGGAATATAAAACAATCACAGATGAAGAATTGGCTTAAAGGACAAATAGAAAACGACTTCAAACTTTCACCATACTTTAACCTTTAAAACTGACGAATAGTTAATGTCGTGATTATGCAAATAAAGTCATTTTGGCATGAATTAAATTAGCTGATCATCTTCTCCACCCGAATAATAGGAGTTGTACAATCACAGTGGTAGCGTGCGAAAAAGGCCAGTCCTTAATCAATTATGTCCTGATTTGCATAATTTATGTTTGGCGATGTTCATCAAATGCCACTGGAATTAAATTCCCGCCATTCATGATCATCACTATGATATTATCTTGTGGGTTATGAAAATTGGGTCTTCATTTACATTCATCTATTTCTGTTGATGTTCCTCTCAGGTTTAAAGGGTCCTATCATGAAATGCAAGAGATTTCTACATTTCCTTGTTAACTATCAGACTCGTAATTTGCATACTTGCTTTCTATTTCCCTACAATTCACCTTTTCAAACGTTCCCGCCACTTTCTTACTGCGTGCAATGATGCCCGTGACGTCGTTCCCAGGGTGTTTCCAGAGACAGACCTTGACCAGGCGCCCGGTGTCGTCTGCAGAGTGGAAGGCGTTAGACAACATCCCGCCATCAGCGCCCCCTACCGTCTGACGAAGTTTCTCCACCTCTTCCGCGTCCAGCAAATTCCTTAAAGGCACCCAATGCAATTTCAGGGCAGCAATAAAAATACTTTTGATGAAGAAATCTGTCTAATATTGAAATTTACAGTCATTTCAGATTTTCATCATCATTTCATGCCTATAGCACTTGAAATAGCCCCCATAACACAGCCTGGTTAGAGCTATAATAGGTTTGGTAACCAGCCTACCCATAACAAGCTACGTGAGGAGTTTCTTCATTTTGGTACCACCAATAAATAGCTCGAACCCGCCCAGAATACGAAACAACCAACAGTTATTCTGTCAGCGACATCAAATTTTCTGCCTCACAGATATCAGTACGCTATACATATAGCGGATAGGCCCTGGGGGTTATGTCATTGGGGTCACAACAGATCAGACGTAAACGTAAACCAAAGACGTAAACCAAAAGCATTATCCATAGTCTTTACAAAAGATCCTGTCAAAATATACCATAGTTCTACACATAACCTAGGTACACTTACCGTACAATAACAAACCCGTCCCGGTCAAAGTCCTCCTTCATCTGTGGTGACACGTCATACTCCCCGGCCTTGTATGTGTATTCTTTAAAACAGACAGGGAAGTCAACACATATCAGGCTGACTACGAAATACAAAAGTCCAGGGACTGCAACAAAACACCACTTTGTCTCCAGATTTCATAACTGCAACTAGTTATGCGAGGTCTGCCTGACCTATCCGATCCCCAGACTACGTGCCAGACTAGTACTGTTTCCAGGGCCTGCACAGCCCAGTTCCTCGGCTCCAGGGCAGCCTGCCCCCGTGAAAAGAGATCGGTAAAGTGATAGATCAAAAAGTCAAAGGAACTGTTGCAGAATTCGTACAATTGGATGTTTATGTCTGTTGGCGAATAAACTTACCGCACGCTGCCATGCTACGTTTTGCTTCCCCAGCTGCAAACGATCTGTGACGGTGTGAACTGTGACTAACCTCCGCACAGTTCTCTGCTGTTTGACAGATCTAGGTCAAAAGTCAGACGGTGTGTGGGAACATAGCTACACGTGCCCTACAGACTGATACTGAAAGCTGGGTGTTCAGGATTGGTGGGTGAGAGAGTCACAAAGTCACAGAGATACAGGTTGTTTCTGAAAGCTGCGTGTTGATTGGTGGGTGGGGGAGTCACAAGGTCAGAGAGCTATGTACAAGTTGTTTCTGAAAGCTGCGTGTTGATTGGTGGGTGGGAGAGTCACAAGGTCAGAGAGCTACAGGTTGTTTCTGAAAACTGTGTGTTGATTGGTGGGTGGGAGAGTCACAAGGTCACAGAGCTACCGGTTGTTTCTGAAAGCTGCGTGTTGATTGGTGGGTGGGAGGGTCACAATGTCAGAGCTACAGGTTGTTAACTACTGAAACTGCGTGTTGATTGGTGGGTGGGAGATTCACAAGGTCACAGAGGTACTTGTTGTTACTGAAAGCTGCGTGTTGATTGGTGGGTGGGAGAGTCACAAGGTCACAGAGCTACTGGTTGTTTCTGAAAGCTGCGTGTTGATTGGTGGGTGGGAAAGTTACAAGGTCACAGAGCTACTGGTTGTTACTGAAAACTGCGTGTTCAGGATTGGTGGATGGGAGAGTAAAAAGTTCAAAGACCTACAGGTTGTTTCTGAAAGCTGCTTCTTGATTGGTGGGAGGGTCAAAAGGTCAGAGAGCTCGCTGCTACATCCATGGCAGTAGTTTTGTTGCGAACTATATATAACCAAGGCTCACGCAAAGTTTGCACTTGCAGTATCTAATTTACAAAATTAATGAAGACATTGAATGAATATGACTAGTCCAAGATAGGAAGAAGTTGAACAAGAAAGAATGAATTAAATTTATTACTCAACAGCTGAACATGGAACAATGCATAACGACAATGACAATCAAGACAATAATACTAGTCTATTTCTTAAAAAAAAACATCGGCAGATATCAATTATGTAATGGCTTTCATAATTCATGTTGAAATGCTTTAATTACCTTCGCCAAGAAGCTTATTCAGAGGCGTTCGTGTGTGTGTCTGTCTGTAAATACGATAACTTGAGAAGGCTTAAATAGATTAACTTTATATTTAGTAGGTTGGTAGGTCTCAGTAGAGACCTCAAAATGATTGGAGTTTGGGGCCCCTAGCGTCTTATTATGGTACTGCAGTTGAACTTCCGGTTTTAATATCTCGTGATCTGGACGTGCTAGGGTCACGAAATTTGGATGGTAGGTAGGTCTTGTGCTTCGAAAGAAGTGACATAGGTTTGGGCCCCTAGCGGCTTGCTCAGGAACTGCAGGGGCGTTTCTTTAGAAATATTCAAAAGAGGATAACTCAAGAAGCGGTGGACGGATCATCGTGATTTTTGGTATTCGCCCCGTTCACAAATCCCACAATTCCTTGCGCGACGGACAACATCCGGTCTAGTTTCGAACTCTCAAGCTTGCATGGCGGCGGCTTTTGCCGTCAGAAAACAAAAACCCATTTATCAAGGTTCTAGGTGTTGCGTGCCGGGGTGTAAAAACCGACAAGGAACAGATACGGTAAAGAGGTCCTACTAAAAGTTCCCTCAAGGAGAGGCAAATCGACATTTACGTCGACTGTGGGAGGCCAGCGTAAGGCGAGTGGACTGGGTCCCTAGCAACTACGACAGGATCTGCTCAGATCATTTTGTAGGAGGTGAGTTTAATAGTCAGTACGATAATTCGTATCTGTGTATTTTAACAACTACCCTGCCCCTCACAAATAACGTTTATCTTACGCCGCGTTATGTGATATGATTTGGCTATGACGCCCCCCTCCCCCCACCGTCGATCGCGTCGAGTGGTCTGTAGTAACGTTACATAAAATTGGTGGATGTGATTTCATTTCAAAAAGAACTCAGACCATGGTAGAATTAAGCAATGCAAATTACGTTCGTAATGAAGTGAAAACTATGTTGTTCAGCGGAGACATACATGTATTATCATTCATTTTTTTCAATACTGGTTACAAATGGAAATTATGATTACATATGCTGACCTGTGTAAGTGTACATTTTGGAATTTGGTCAAAATTTCAGAGATATTCCACAGAGATCATTATTGCATGTACATTTTTGTAGTTATCTTTTGAGATAATACAATTTTCTTTTTCCTGTTTTTTTGTAGGGAAACGCACCCATACGAAAGGGTCTGCGGGTTACATACCAAGTGTCTTCCCTTGGCAAAAAGTTTGTCAATCCAGAACTTCGAAAACAGCAATACAGGCTGGGACTGTGACACCAGTACCATGGCGCCGTCACGACACATGGTCCCCTAGCCCTGAACATGATCAAGAGACCCCAGGACCAAGCAATCGCCAAATTGCCTTCGCACAGCAGCGGGAAAGGAAGAAGCAAGAGGAAGCAAGAGAAAACTCTAGACACGTATGGAAGGAACATGGACATGACTATGTAGAAACAGTAAAGAGAAGCCTTCCATATATGATGAAGAATTGCCAAGACTGTACAAGAAAATCCAGGAGTTGGAAAAGGAAAATTCACAGCTGAAGCAGAGAGTATTTAGTTTGGACACTGTAAAAGAGTGTGATAAAGATTTCCAGAGGTACACGAACTTACCAAACTTTGCAGTATTTTCTGCAGTCAGTGACTATTTGAAGAAAATATGTAAAGGTCACCTAAAGTACTGGCGAGGTCAGGAAACTGACTGCACACCTACCAAGAGGAGTGGAAGAGAAAGATCATTATCTTTTGAAGAGGAGTTCTTCTTAGTACTTGTGAAATTAAAATCAGGGGATTTCAACCAACAAATCGCGGGCCGATTCGGCATAAGTACCAGTCAAGTTTCCAAGATATTCACGACATGGTTGAACTTTTCTCCACAGAGAGCTTCGGTTGCTGTTCGAGATGGAAACCAGTTGGGATAAACCAGAAACGTAAGAGTTACTTCTGACTTTGAACATTACTGTGTCCACCACAGAGCTTTAATACCTTCGCCAAGAAGGTTTTGTTTTCAGTAGCATTTGTGTGTGTGTGTGTGTGTGTGTGTGTGTGTGTGTGTGTGTGTGTGTGTGTGTGTACGTGTGTGTATGTGATTTAGCACAATAACTCAAGAAGCTTTTGATGGATTGCCATGAAAGTTGGTAGGTGGTATGAGATCATGGAATTCTTGTTCTACCTGAATACACTTGGATTTTAACTAATATACTATGAAGGATGTTCTGACTGATAGTAGTAGTCAATGTAACATCAGACTAAAACTTCAGTATATACATGTATTAACATATGTGGAAGCTGAAGCTGTTGTGTCTTTTACAAACTGACATTGTTTTCATTAACATTAGCAAGGTGTCATTTAGTTTAAGCAACACATAGCACATGTCGTCATTATTTCTCTACCTTACAACTCCATTATCAATAATTTTCATTTATTTCAGAATCCCTGAGTGCTTCAGACGGTATGATCGACTTGTGTCAGTCATCGATTGTACAGAACTGCAGGTGGAAATGGCAGGAACGCTGCAAGCGAGAAAGGAGACTTACTCTAACTATAAAAACAGAGACACGATTAAGTTTATGGTAGGCATGTCACCCAACCTCACAGTTAACTTTGTCTCCAAGGCGTGCGAGTGATAAACACATAACCCTAACAAGTGCAGCATTTATTAACCAGCTACCACCAAAGTCTGTAATCATTGCTGACAAAGGATTCAATGTTTCTAAAGAACTTCAGAGCAGGGGGGTACAGCTCATTGTACCTGACTATAAGGGTCGTGGTAGGTCACAGTTTTCAGCCCAAGAGGCTGCTAGTTCTGAATGTATCTCTAGTGCACGGATACACATAGAGAGAATTATACAGCGCATTCGTACTTTTCATATTCTTAGCTCTACTATTAAGATTTCTCAACAAGACATAACAGAACAGATCATCAGTGTTTGTGCCTATTTGATAAATTTCCAGATGCCCATTGTCAACCTTCGTCAGAAACTACATGCAGACACTTCCATTTCTGAGCACACAAACAACACAACAGAAGAGAGCATCTTTGATTTCATTTAGATATACTGAAACTAAGATACTAGTACAATCAGTGAATTTTTAAAGGCAAGTGTTTAAATTGTAACTGCTGCTGTCACTGGCCGGGCTGTGTTTCTGTACTTGCGATGGGTACAGCATGGCTGATACCGTTCTTCTCAGCTGTAGTCTTGTAATGTTGTATTTGATGACTCACTGAAATACATGACAGTAAACAATGACATGATTTAATGACAGGAAGGGTTTGGAATGTTTGGTCTTCTCCTTGTTGAAGTATGCATTTCTGGCAAGTGACTCGTTTGCTACTCCCCATTTGATACTCTTGGCATTTGGTAGTGGAGGAGGCTTTGTTAGGTTCTTGTACTTGTCTCCCATACAATCACTGACTAGTCTACTGGGTGATGCCTTGCCACCGGTCATTAACCTATCTATCCGATGGAACTTTGTCGTGGTTAAAGACCCTGACCGCATGGCGTACCACTTAGCATTCTGATTCTGGCCTCTTGTCATCATTTCCACATCTCTTCTTTCCTTCTGGTCTGTTTTGCAAGAGTTGACGAAATCACTTGTGGTCATGTTTTCGGAGATAGGCGCGTAAGCGAGGGGGTAGGCTGGGAAACTGCTGTTTCAAAGTTTGCTGGAACCAGGAGGTGCGAATCTGGACCGACACGGGTTGGCAAAACTTTGACGGCTGGGGAGCGTAGCACAGAGGAACCAGATGTGAGAACGCTTGTAGCAACAACATGCTGTTTCATGTGCTGAGTCGCGTTGAACAGCTTCTGACACAGGACTGCTGCCCCTTCCACTCTGTCGCATTCGTCTACCCTCGCAACTTTTTCCCCGTATGTGTCAGATGTTCTCCGAACTTTCTGGGGCTTTTTTCTGAACTCAATCTCCGTGTACAGCTTCGGCTGAACAGCTGCAGCTGAAAAAAGAAAAGACGTACTTGTTGGTCTTAGAACTTAACAGTTATAAACATAGATACATAAACTTGGTATCAAATTAGTCGTGGGCATCCATCTATTTCTAAAAATAATAAACGTAACATGTCATTGCCATACGTACAATTACTAAATTAACTTTAGGGTCTGTCCACGCGCACAGCTTCTCGGTACATGTTGGGTCGTCCGGCAGCTGGGTATATCCCATGGAAACCAAGTCTGCCAGTTGGAACAATGTGGCCCCCACGTGAGCACAGGACTGATAGAGACTGAAAGTCATAAAGTTATATCAGTACATGTATAGAACGATATAGATAACTTTCCTGCAGGGAGATTAAAACAAATCTTAGTTGTAAAAATTGTCTTTCTTACCCGACTGCACAGGTGCAGTACGCCCCATACGGCTGACCGGTGATTTTATCCAAGATGATGTACAGTGCCTTAACTCTCTCGCTGGCTCCTGACTGTGAAGAGTTGCACTGTGCTTGGACGGCAATGAAAGTGTCGGAAGGGTTGACATTGATTTTGATTGAGTGAACAAAGTCCTTCATCTTGAACGGCCTCTGTACTTTGTATTTCACTTCTTGTTCCTTGTTGAAAACTCTGCTATTAAGCAGATACTGTTTCACCATTGTATCATCAATGGGGGGGACATGTTGAAGGTCTTTGCTCCATGCGTCCAACTTTGTTAAGTAGGCGGGGGTGAGGGTGGAGTATTCTCTTAACTGGTTACACGACAGGCCGTGGTTGTCCAGTCTAGGCACGAAATCGTATGGCTTGTTCTTCCCACTTGTTGAAATATCCAGTGCTAGACATAACAGATTCACCTTTGCAGATTTTGACAATTTTGTATTCACATTGTGTGCTCTGCATTCTTTGTTCAATCGTTGTATCGGAAGACCTGAAATGTCTGTGTACGTTTTCAACTTGTTTGTCGTTCTCTCCATTTTACCTGAAACAGCCAACAATCAAAGATTACTTGCTTGATTATAACCAAACCGTACACGTTAGGCCACAGCAAGTAAATCTTATGGTTGAAATCCTCCGCAGACTCCAAATCTAATGCGCGCGGGCGAAAGCAAAACAAGGCGGACCCCAAAAAACAAGATTCCTACATTTTAAAATTTTGACATCATAAACCTTGTCAATCACAAAAAAACTTGTGTTAGGTTTACCGCCAGCTATTGCAACATCCATTTCTCACTGAATTCGAAACAACTTTGAAAAGTGAAAGTTTTAAATCATTGTACAAATGGAACATCACATATACACATGCACCGTAACATATAAAAGAACTTATACCACTGCATCAAATTACATGTAATAGATAAACATTAAATTATCTATTGTACACGACGCATTAAAACGTCCCTCCTTTGACACCCTTTTTTCCACACCAAAAAGGCGCTCTTTTCTATGCATTCAGCCTCTATAATTAGACGTTAGAAATGTTTTAAAAGATTGAACTTACCTGCGAAGAAACATGATCCGCTGTCAGGTGAGAACAGGTAAATTTTTTAAATCTGTAACGAATAGGATCTGGAACGGAATTTAGAGCAGAACCTAGAACATGTGTTCTATTGTTCTGATTATCGCTCTTTGGCGTCTTGTACATATCTATCTTAATAGTCTATAAAAATGATATAGAGACACAAAATATCTTTTATGGTAATGGTTGCCAAGGGTAAAATGGTTGCCTAGCTACGGTTACCATGTAAATGAACGTTTATAGTATAACTATATACATACAAAAAGTATACAATGTCATGTTGATGATGAAGATAAGTTTCGGACCTCCACACTAATTTTCATGTCATTTGAAATCGGAATTAAGACGTCTTACCCAGAAACTACTTTTATGATAATAGCTATTAAATGTTACCAAGAACAGCATAAAACGAAACAAAAAAGATAACTCTGAATTTCAGAAAGTTTTATTTGAGGCAGGCATAATTCCACGATCTAAACCACTTCTTCTTCACGGCGCTTGGTGTGATTGTGTGAGCGGTTACAGGCGGCCTTTACCCATTTGGTGGCGAGACCGCCCCATTCAATTGTGACGGGGTTGGCGGGCGCCAAACCGGATGTTGTCCGTCGCGCAAGGAATTGTGGGTATGTGAATGGGGCGAATGTAGGTAGTTTAAGTGACGCTTGACATAATCATGCGACAATTATGCAAATCTAGATGTAATTTGCATGATTATGAGGAAATTCTATAAATCAGCCGCATTACATTATAGGACTATTCAATCTTTTGACATATGTAATTGAGAACACAGAGATACACAGGCACATATTCATTATGTAAATTAACACTTAATTTGCATATTTAATGAGAAAGTGCTATAATTCCATAATTGTAACTGCCTGGAATTTCATACTTGGGGTATTTGAAAGGAAAGTGAAGGTGAACATCATTATTAAAACATAACTTAAGGACTTCATATGCATGATTTATGAGGAAATGATAGGATGGCTTTCTATGTTAAAGTAAGGCTGTCTTTAGGTGGAAAATATGATCAACTGATATAATTCATGCAAATGAGGATCCTATTTGCATAATCAGGAGGAATAATCTTTACTTTGTCAGTCATAAAGATTAACATCATTTGGCGAAGCTATGAGATTGTGGAACTCTAGTATTACTACTAGTATTAATAGGTTGCTAGTCAAATTGCAATTGTCCAGGCTTGGTAGGTACGTCCAAGTTGTTGAGTTTTACAGAGGATCATGTTGTTGTTATTGTCTTTGTTTAACGTCTACTATCTCGCTAGACGTGATCTCTTGGTGCTGGATTGCTCATGGTTCAGTCCAGAGTCAAATTGTATCTCTAGGAGAAAGCACAGTGGAGAAAAACCCTACAAGTGTGACCAGTGTGACTATTCTGAATGTCTCTAGGAGAACACATCGAATCGGTGCGCGTGCATACTCTCGATGTACCGTGAGAGGGCATCTGCTTGTTTACGGCTTCAGGAAGGTCTTCTCTCATGCCGGCTAGGGTGGCGATATCCGTGTCTCTACTTTCCTCTGCTACGTTTTAGGTGTCGTGTGTGCTCTCTGACCTAAGCAGCATGTACGTAATGCCTTTCGTTGTCATAACGAGGGCAGCGGTACAGGATCATCGGAGAACGGCCCGCAGTGTCAGTGAGCGCTTGGCCATGTCTCCTAGGTACACACTGTAACAGAAACAAAGTTACCGTCAGTAAAATGTGGACGTCCTCGACATGCTTTCAGTACTCGTGGCAATAATGGTTAAAACATTCAATTGCAAGTGTAATTATAGTTAACTATTCTTTCTTTATTGTTTCTTTATTGTTTCTCACAAATTGAAACCACATTGGCAGGGAAGAGCACAGCAATATTTTCTCACATAGCTATGGACAATAAACTATGCTAATGACTGCAAATGCAATATAATACAATGCACTCAAAAACAATATAAAACAATGTAATGTATAATATCACTCTCCAAAGAAGTGTTTAGCCTTGATTATCATAGAAACGATGTTTGCTTCGGTTACCTGGCTTGACTTGGCAAATGAAGTGAGCCCGGTTGGAGCAAGACACAGTGGACCACGTGCCACGTGCAAAAGGACGCAAGAATACGCAATCTTTATGGTCGACGAAGTTGCCTTTCTTCGGTTCGTGAGGACTCCACAAGGTGTACACTCCAATGCGAGAGCCGTCCGCCCACTCAAACACTCCTTCCTCGCGCTCATGAGAGAGGCCGAGCCAGAATCCGGACCCCCTGCTTATAGCGGCCTTGTACAGGGAAATCAGTAAATCGTTGGTCTCAGCGTCTCGAGGCATGACGAGGGTGCCGCCGTCTCGACGACAGGTCGCAGTCGCTTTGCTGAAGTTCCAAAGAGTGTTGAATACCTTGTAGCAGATACCTTTGGGACAATCTGCATGGGGGAAATACGTTTTTCGTATGTGTTTACATGCCTAGACCTCTCTTTGGATATCAGACAAGTACAACGATAAAAGCAAGTAACCAATAGATGAATGAATCATCATACAGTCTATTGCTAAGGTGATATCCTTTCAAAGTTGTTCAAAGTAAGTCAAAGTAAAATGAATACTAAACCTCCAGTCTCGCACCACCTCCGAGGCCCAGCCGGTACCAGGACCTGTTGTCCCGGGCGTCCGATTGGCCCTGGGCCAACTGGGCCCATGGTCCCCTTCTGTCCCGGAGGGCCAGGTGGCCCAGGAGGCCCGGCAGACCCTGGGCCAACTGGGCCCATGCCCCCTTTCTGTCCTGGAGGAGCAGGTGGCCCAGTAGGCCCGGCAGACCTAGGGCCAACTGGGCCCATGGCCCCCTTTTGTCCTGGAGCGCCAGGTGGCCCAGGAGGCCCGGCAGACCCTGGGCCAACTGGGCCCATGCCCCCTTTCTGTCCTGGAGGGCCAGGTGGCCCAGGAGGCCCGGCAGACCCTGGGCCAACTGGGCCCATTGCCCCCCTCTGTCCTGGAGGGCCAATTGGCCCAGGAGGCCCAACAGATGCAGGGCCAACTGGGCCCATGGCCCCTTCCTCTCCTTTAGGGCCAAGTGGCCCCATGGCTCCCCTCAGTCCCGGCGGGCCAGGTGGCCCAGGACGACCGGCAGACGCAGGTCCAACTGGCCCCATGGCCCCTTTCTGTCCTGTAGGCCCAGGTGGCCCAGGAGGCCCAGAAGACACGGTGCCAACTGGGCCTATGGTTCTCTTCTCTTCAGGAGGCACGGGTGAAACGCACATCTCTGAAAATATAAATTATAATGATAACTTTATTGCACAACACTTGTATGACATTTAGTAGTACTAACTACACGTAAAAAGGTTAACCTAACTAATACAAGAGCGGGTGGCTAGTATGGAATAGTTATGAAATAGTTTACAAGAGATCACGGAGAATAGACTCAGGACGCCGCAAGCAGTCTCAAAATTTATAAGATAATATAATTGTATATGCACAAAAAAACAGCATTAGATGTGCGATACATTTATGTTCCTTAACACGTGTAGGTACATATTACAACACACACACACACAAGTACTAAAACTACATATCCAGTTGATGGAGGTTCTGTGATAGATTACTAACGTTCCAGTTCGGCTACCCGTAGCTCTGTCTTGTTGTTCCGTTTTTGAACCTCCACGAATTTCTTTTCCATTTCCGTGATTTTGGCTATATCGGAAAAATGTAAGTGGTTACTTACACAAAGATTATAGAGGTAAGAATGCATGTAAACGAGTTTTCCAAAAGGTATGTCTTTACATTACGGGTTACATTTTTCTCGAAATTGTCAGTAAATTTTTAAGTATTCAGCATTCCAAGTTGTCTTTGTCTTCATTTCGATAACCTTTAGCCAAAATTGGCTAGTCTTACAGGGTTTATACAAAAACAAAAACACACATTTGACACCAAAAGAAATTAACATTAACATTGTAATTAGATTCTATAAAAATTGAGGGTAAAACGGAGTAAAGAGACTCTTTTTACACAAAGTGTTTTATTCAAAAGCTGAATCTCTACAAAGTCTCTTTACTTAGTGACTTACCAGTCTGGTGAAACTATACAGGGATGCAGGTAAAATAGCGCGTGTATTTTCTAAAGCAATGTAAGAATCTTACCTGCAAAGTAAGACAACGGTATGATGATCAGCACAAGGCCTATGATATACCAAATCTTGTTGCGAAAGCGCAAACACTTGTTAACGTCCGCATCCTTGGCGTCTGTTTTGCAAAAGAGACGAATATGCACTTCAGTCGTATCCAACAATACAATACAACGTTACATATAATAGCAGTATATTACTAGTATTTTGAAGCATTTTATTATATGTATTATGATGCAATGATTGTACTTTAGTTAGTTTCTACCTTTCCTTTTCATCATATTACTGAATATGGTTTGTTCCATAAGTGCAGGGAGCATTGACAATCGCTAACATGGCAACATGTAACCCTGGGAGAATAAATAAAAAATTACATTAATCAAAATTCACCGCTTTATCTGTGAAATAATATGGATATTTCCCTGCAATATAGAGAGACAGCATTCTATTATTTGAAAAGTGCAATTCATCCCTACAGTGTCGAGCATCATGTTTGTTTATTTGATAACAGCCATGGTGCCCAAATGAATTTTATAAACATTCATCGTTATCACACATGATAAACATATTTGTAAACAAACAGTTAGTAGGAAAAAATAATTAGCATATTTGGAATCACAATTATTTATGACAAGCAGGCTGTTTCCTTGTCTGCTTGTATGTAGATGTAATAGTTGTGACAACCTTGTACAGCTGAGATCAGGTAAGGAGAAAAGTTAAGGCAATGTTTCCACAGCATGTACATGTATATGCATTCATATCCGGATCATTAGCTTCATATTATGACATTGTTTTTGCCCACGTTTCTTCTCCTCCTCCCGCCATTTCTTTAAATGGATTCAACCCCTTCATTTTTGGGCCAAATAACATGAAATTTGGCAAGGTAGACTGGACAAATCCCCCGGCGTTTGTTTTTTTGTGTGATACAGGCTTTCATTTGAGCTTTTTGGCTATGTTATAGAAAATGTACTATAGTAGTGTGTTACCATATTTGGGCATGAGTCATAAGAATGGCATGTAGAGCAAGCAACGAACAGGCATGCAGCTTTTCTCTATTCTCCTTGCTGATTGGCTGTTCGGATTTGATTGGGTTAATTCAATTAACACTTGTACAAAGCCATGCCATATTGACAATATTCACTGCATTTTGATAGGTATGTGTTTTGGTTAGGTATGTCAAGCTTTCCTGCTCCAGCATTGGAATGCGGGGCATAACGCTTCTTTTTAAATTGAAAATCAACAGTTTCCATTATGCGATTAAAAATTCCTACCAATAATGTAAGGGATAGCTATCCAACTGTTGTCACTTCATACTATAGTCATATCAATGTGAAGAATTATTTTCCCTTGTATTCTCCTTCTTTCCCTGCCAAGTCGTGACATATGGCGAAGCCAAGCTGAATTAGCTCCAAAGCAAATGTCAGCCTTTCTATTTTGTATATTTCATCTTTAAGCAGAACGTAATGAAAAATTATTTTCTGAAAGAACACAACAGACCTAAAGTGATTCAGATGTTAGTTTTGCCTTGTTAGCTGGGAGTATTTTCTTCTTGACAACTTGCAACAGTTACTGTATATCTACACAATGTAGAGACTTTTGACACTAATGATTAGAAATGACCTCATTAATGGAAGTTGCCCTAATTAACATAAGAAACAGTATTTTTGCCACTTTGAAATATTTTGTATCTGATCTTAATCTCAAACTCTTGAAAATTTGAAAACTGTAGCTTGGAAATTTTGAGAGTTAGAATAAAATGTATGTAAATAATTGTAAATTTCTTGTCTGTCCTGTTGCCTTAATTGACAAGGGTTATCCCATAGGGGCAATAGTCAAGCATCTTTCAATCAAATCATTGAAGTTGTAAACTTTAAAAATTTTTAGAAAATCTCTACTGTCGTATCTTCAAATGGAAAAATCATTATAAAGCGGTAGAATTTGGTCTATACGACTAAACCATTTTCAGTAACGCCTAGCTTATTGAGAAAACTGGTGTGCCATGCCTACCTATGGTATGTAGTGAAGTATAAAGGTATACCGCATACCTCAGATCTGCTTTAGTGTACATGTCATTAATGTTAGGGGGCAGACTCATCTGTGTTTTGATGTCTTGTTCTTTCATGCGTAACATTCCAATTATGCAAAGTGCCCAACAGCTTTGGCAGATCAAACCGCTAAGATACGAGCCCTATTCCAAGCTTTACTCATCTGTTGAACAAATACACTTGTTAAAACATCCCAGTGTAATTTAACCAACTATTACAGCCTGAGAGTCATAAGAATATTTCTGCATTCTTTTACCTTTTGTAGCTGTATACATGTTTTTGATTAGTTGTTATGTACTTGTAATAAGACGCCTAAAATACACAATTCAGCGTCAGGAGAACAGCAGATGACGCCTCCATGCATTTTATTGTAAAATGAACGAAATCATGTAATAATAGAAAACAAGGGTCACAATTATTATCATTATTTATTATTTATTATTTTTTACCATCTAGAGGAAAGAAGGCATGAAATAAAAGCAACAGAATAATTTTGTAAAAGATGATATTTTTTACCTGATCTGGAGACGTACAAAGGGTTTGATACCTTCGCAGCGACGTCTGCAACGGACTGCCAATCATGATCAGCCTGAGGCTGCTGCGTGGGTGTAGCGCCTGGAGAAAATTACAAAATGAAGGCATGGTTTATTCGGAGCATATAACAGTATATACAGTACAGTATACACTAAACAACAGACTCGCAGGCAACCTTACTGACTGCATGACTGTGGTCAACATTTAAGTACTGCAACTTCCTCTTGTCATTAAAAAGGTATTGTACGTTTTATAATATGCACAAATTCGAATTACAAGTATTCACTTTTATTTGTCGCTATATTCTTTGTGTTGAGAGAATGCAATGTAAGTAAAAAAAATATTTATTTATTTATATATCTATTTTTTATTTATAAGACTTTCCAATGCAACAGCAAGTAGCATGGAGGAGAGACAAAACAGGTGCATATTTGCACCTCTGCCAGTTGTCTCTCCACATACAAAATACATAATAAAACAGTAATGATACAAAAATAGACAATTTAGCTGACAACATACTATAACATATTAAGATATATAACAATATAGTGACAGCTATAGGGCAGTTATCGCGGCCTTGTGGCCATACAGGTCGTACATCTGCAGAACGATATCCAGCTACATGCAGCATCCGTATCATAGACCGCATCTAATCTGTTATGTAAATGTTTTATCAACTGTCTTTTGAAGGTATTTAAGTGTTGTGGCTGAGAGACATTTACACCCAACGTTCTCAGACTGACATCCAAACTGTTCCATATACATAAATATGTTGGGAAGTACGACATAGCAAACAATTGTGTTTTAGTTCTGAGAGGTGTTAACATGTGAGATCTTGCGCTTCTCGTGCTTCTCAAAGAAAAAGAAACATATTTCAACATATCTGAGTCGCACAAGTTTGCCATAGACTTAACAAAGAGTACGACGTCGGCCGCTTCTCTCCTGAATGTGAGTGGTAACATACCAAGAGAAGACAATCTGGATTTATAGTCGAGATGTTCAGGAACTACGCCAAGTATATACCTGGTTGCCCGACGTTGGATGCCTGCTACAACTCTAATCAGATTACGTGATCCAGGGCACCAAATAGAAGAACAATCGTCAAATTTTCTGCGGAATTGTCGGCAGAAAATTTGACCACAGTGTGTCTACGCTGTCGTAGAATCTCTTTACACAGTGTTCCCGCTGTCTCCCGTATCGCTGTCATCAGTGCCTCTCTCACGAAAATATATGAATGTCTAAAGTGGACAGCCATTAACAGCTGTGTCCAGGAAAGCCGTGCGTTACGGAAAATAAAGCAAAAACACGCTACCGTCTGTGTCGCCAGTCTGGGGCTGCTGCTGCCCTCTCTTCATGCTGCCACTTGTCAGGTTTCTGGACTAGAAAAAACAAGTCCTACACCAGACAGGTGCTCAGTAACAATAACTTGTTTGTGCGCGGAGCGAGACTCAAAGTAGTTTTTGAACGAAATTAAAAGCAAGGATTAAAGTAAAGCAAGCAGATTGCTTGATTTGCAAACATGAAAGAAACTTCTCGCAGGCGGGACTCATCAAGCTATCAAACGAACACGTAATCGTTTTATGTTGCTTCGATTCGTATGTACCGTAGGCGTCTGTTTAGCAAAAAAGAAAATGCATCTAATATCAAAATATAAAGTAACATATTGTGTAACAATATAACGCAAAGCAACAATACAATACAAGAACACAATGCGAATATACTATAATGTAACAATACAATGCAACCACAAAGCAATAAACTGGAATTGTAAAAGATAGGTCTCTCATTGAGTCTCTAATTCTAGCCATGATATATAGCACTTTATAGCTATATTGTTACTGTGCATTAATATTACATCCTTTATTTATCTCAGTTTTTAATCCAATATTTATACTCGTCTTTGCTTTTTTTTCATTAAATTTTGTATTTTTTTTACCGGCGACATGAAAATAAGCAATTGATAAGCAACTAAAGGAAAGATAATTCCATTTCCTAGTACAGTCAGTTCCTATATACGATAACTCATTTTACTGGAATGTATTGGCAGTTCCTTCACGATCAGTGTGTATCGGTCGGGGCGCTTTGCAAGCATAAATGTACAATAAATGCCATTCATTCATTATTATTGAGAATATACGGCTGGCGAAAAAAAAAATACCAGTGCGAAAAAGAAAGCCCAAGCACATAAAAAAATAATCGATCATAAGCATAAACCTATTCTTGGAGAGTAGCAAAAGTAGTTTATTTTGTCGGCCAAACTGTAGAGTGAATAGAAACAGACTAGTATTCTTCATGGTTGAGCAATCATAGCCAATAGTACGCAAACTGGTGCAAATATTACCTTCGCCGAGAAGGTTATGTTTTTAGTATCGTTTGTCCGTCTGTCTGTTTGTTTGTTTGTTTGTTTGTTTGTGAACAGCATAACACAAGTAGCTTTATATGCATTGTCATGAAACTTGATAGGTAAGTAGATCTTGATAAGATCTAGAAATGATTAAATTTTGGGGCCCCTGGTGACTTTTGTTGGTACTGCAGCAGAACTTCCGGTTTTGTTATCTCATGATCTGTACAAGCTAGCTATAGGGCCACCAATTTTGGATGGTAGATATAGCTCTTGGGCTAAGGAAGAAGTGACTTGTTCTGGAACCCCAGGAGCGTCTTTTTTAAATCTCCAAAGGAGGATAGCTCAAGAACCGGTTGACAGATTGTCATGATTTTTGATGCTTGACATAATTAGATGAAAATTATGCAAATCAGGAGCTAATTTGCATAATTGGTGAGGAAATTCTATAAATATGTTGTTGTTTTTTTCGATAATACGGCTATGAAGCACTCGTGACCTGAAATTGAGAACGAGAAAATTTGATCTGAGGATACATATTATGTAAATGAAGACCTAATGTGCATAATTAATGGAAAATTGTTATAATTTCATAGTTGTAACTGCTAGGAATTTCATACTTGCTACATTTGAACGTTAAGTGAAGGTGAACATCAATAAACATAGATCATTCAAATCATTACCTCATCTGCATAATTCATGAGAAAGTGCTTTTTCTTAAAAGGCTGTCATTGGGTGGAGAATATGATTAATTGATATAATTCATGCAAATGAGGCTTTTATTTGCGTAATCAATGATTAGAATTGTATAATTCGTCAACCAAAGTGGTTAACATCATTTGGCGAAGGTATGAGATCGTGGAACTCTTGTTTCATAATTATTATAACTGCTGATAATTTCATACTTATCGCATTTAGAAGGTAGGTGAAACACTTGGCTTTGTGGGATTCTGTAACTGAACACTTTTACACAGAGGCTCTTTTCATCTCCCCCTCAAAGGAGTTTTTGGACACCGACTCAGAACTGTAGAGTGCCACTAGCATGATAAGACATACTCCGTGATTGCTCGAAGAACTCCATAGCCTTTTCTTGATAACCATGTTTACCCCATGCCAACCCTAATTTGAGGAGTATCTTGGCAATGTCCATATGTGCTTTGTTGTCTCCATAGACTGTTTTCATCATCGCCAGTGACTGTTCCAAGAACCGAATTGCTCTTTCCTGATCTCCGACCTTACTCCAAGAGGATCCCAACTCTAAAAGTGACAAGGCAACAATGTATGAGTGTTTCTTATTGTTGCCTTGTAGAGCACGTGTTTTGCGCATAGTTGAGCATGACCGCTCGAAGTAGCTGATTGCTTTCTTGTTGTCACCGAGTTCACTCCAGGACAGCCCCAGGTTATAAAGCGTCCCTGCACTTTCCGGAGTTGCCTTGTCGTCTCCATAGATGGTTTGCTGCATCGCCAGTGACTGTTCGTAGTAGCTGATAGATTTTCGTCCATCCAATCTACTCCAAGATGTTCCCAGTGTGTCAAGTGTCCTGACAACATCTTGATGTGGCGTGTCTCGTCCATAGATAGTTTCCATCATTGACAGGGACTGTTCGAGATGGTGAATCGCCTTTCTGTCATCTCTGAGTTTACTGCATGAGATACCCAGCTCAGTAAGTAACCGTGCTACAATTATGTCTACAGTATTGGGTCCATTGATGGCTTTCTCCATTGTCAGTGACTGTTCATAGTGCCTGATTGCTTCTTTCTGATCGCAAAGTTCACTCCAGCATGATCGATGTTTCGCAGTAAAAAGGCAATGTATGGGGGGCCGTGTTGTCTCCACATGCAGTTGTTGCCACTCTTAGCGCCCGTTCAAACTTTCGGAAGCGGATCGCTTTCTTCTGAGTCCAAGTTTTCTCCAAGATGCTCCCAGCAATTCAAGTGGCTTGGCTATGTCATGATATGCCTTCTTGTCCCCATAGATAGTTTTCGCCGTTCTCAGCGACTGTTCATAGTACTTGATTGCTTCTTTCTGATCGCCAAGTTCATCCCAGCATAATCCTATGTTTCGAAGTAACAAGGCAATGTATGGATCTGGCGTGTTGTCTTCACATGCAGTTTTCGCCACTCCTAGTGCCTGTTCAAAGTAGTAGGCTGATTGCTTTCTTCTGATCTCCACGTTTTCTCCAAGATTCTCCCAGCAATTCAAGTAGCTTGGCTATGTCATGATGTGCCTTGTTGTCTCCATGGATAGTATTCGCCGTTCTCAGCGACTGTTCAAAGTAGCTGATTGTTTTCTTTTCATCTCCGAGTTCACTCCAGCACATTCCCAGGTTACTAAATGTCTCGACAACTTTCGGATGTGCCATGTCGTGTCCGTGGATGATTTCCTTCATCGCTATGAACTGTTCGTAGTAGCTTATCGCTTTTCTATAATCGCCCAACGTCTGCCGCAGGAGTCCCCAATGTTGATATGACTGAACGGTGAACCCACCATCACAAAATTATCGTCTTATGCCAGGTCTTTATCCTGTTTATTCATTCTGGACACGTACAAACCAACCTGACTTGAAACGCAGCCACTTCCCAAAGGTTACTAGCGGACAAGTTACGGAGAAAACTTGAACCCCATCCAGCTAGAGGTCGGACCTAAGGAGTCCCTCCCACCCGGAAATGACGTCGACTTCCCGTCCGGCTGAAACGAAAACAACCCACGAGTCGATCAGCGTGTGACACTGTCAGAACCAGGCGCCCTGTCCACGCTTGTTTACCGCCTGAACTTCACATCTGATCGGACCCATCGCTTTAATACCAGTGAGAGGTTCGTATGGGAATTAGATAGTATCATATATTTGTGTATTACTAATGATAAGTCTGTTGGCGACGGAACAGTTACTTTAGAGGATAAGAACATACTCTCCAAGCAGAGGTTGTGGGGGAATGATCGTCAGCTTTTTATACATGGCCGTTTTTTTTTTGTCCTGACCCCCGTCAGTGGCCGGCGACCTTCTCCAGATCGACCCAGTAATGGATACTGCCTGGCCTATCTGATACTGTCTTTTTGCCAACGAGGGATCTGCTTGTAGATTAATAAGAACAGGCGATGTAACGTTATACTGGATGTGAGTGGCCCAGTCTTGTTAAAGGGGCCGGAGTGGGGGTTTCTTTATGTGGTGGTAATAATTTGTTTTCTGTGCCACAGTTGTTTAAGTGTACAGAACTGTATAAAATGGAGAAGGATTAGCCTCTACCAGGCTTCGGGAGGCGGTTGGAAAGAGTAAAAATCCGCTAAATAGAGAGATAGCATGCGGCAAACGGTTCTCTCCAGCAGACCAACTCCCCGACATGTAATCTCTCTATTTGGCCGATTTCTCCTCTTTCCAGCCGCCTCCCGATAGCCTGGGTACCATCCTACTTGTATACCGGGGCTATCACACTCGCTTCCCTTTGGGAAGCGAGTGTGGGAGCCCCGGTATACAAGTAGGATGGTACCCAGGCTATAGCTCAGCCGTGGGAGAATGCGGATTGTAAGCCCGGCCCGGGACCAGGAGGGTTTTTTATCTGTTTCTACTGGCTCCTCCTAGATCCTGTTTCTTGCAAATCCACTCAATTACGCAACGCATTACGTACAATCAAAACGGTGAATTCGCTCTACGCAAAATGCGCCAAATACGCCTGAATTAGACATATGTTGTGCACAGCAGGACAAGGGTTAAGAGCGGCCCGTCTACGCTCGACGCAAAAGGGCATGCGGGCCCCCTTACACATGCAGGAAAGCTCAACTTGATTCCCCCTCTGTGTTGGTTTCTTGGAAACCCTTGACTGGCCTGAGCCTGGCAAGTTGACAACACCAACGCCGGAGCTTGAGCACTGACCTTTCGCTTAAAGGGGGCCCGCATGCCCTTTTTCGGAAGAATACGTAAAGCGAGGACAAAAAGAACGATGCCCTAACTTTTTTACTTTGGTAGGACGATCCCAGAGCATGTTTATTGCCTTCCTATAGACGTGTACTTTGTTTGTTTACCGCACAGTTCCCATGGCATACGAACCTCGCGCGGTGCGGGGCCTGGGCTGGACCCTGGTCGTCCTGGGATGCCTCAGCGTCACGCTAGGGGTCGCTGCGGACATCACGTTCGCCGTCCATGACGTCGGCACCCTGGGACACTACGTCAGCGCACCTGTCTGGAGCGGGCTGCTGGTGGGTCAGGCTCTCCGACCTTTTAAACCTAACTTCACCTCAAACTTTGACCTTCAACCTCTTCATTATTCTTGACCTTTACCCTCACTTAACCTTTAACTTTAACATTTAAATTAACCCATAAACTTGACCTTTAACCTTGACCTATAACCTATAACTTTTTCACATGAGAAAACGCACAGGCATTTGAACCTTAATCATGACCTTTAACCATGACCTTCAACTTCTCCGTACTAAAGAAAATGTACGGTGGACATTTGAACATTGACATTCACATCGATGCTCTGCCTGGAGCTGCTGTTTGTTGGCTCTCTTCAGGGGGAGGGGGGAATGATACTATCCCATCATCCTTTGCAATACACATTCCACAACACGTGTCCCAGATGGCTGACTGTCAGCACCAGGCATATAGTCTTGTCATGTTTCCTTTAAAAGTGCAGCAATGGCAACAATTTGACCAGTAATTTTTGGTTCTTTGAATTATCAAAGGACTCAAGTAGTGTATGAGGCTATCTGACTTTTGTAACTTATGTACAACTTCTTACATTGTGTCATAAACATTTATGCAAACATTTGCTTCAAAAATGGTGCTCAAACTTCACCAAACTAAAGTGCTTGTCTACAAACTCTGTTGATTGGTGACATTATACATCTTGTGCATCAGAAAACCCCAAATGCACCAAAAAGCACCCATGGGAAACAGAAGAAAATATTATATTTGATATGATTTATGTAATAATCATCAACAAATGCAATTTTCTTCTGTTTCCCATGGGTGCTTTTTGGTGCTAACAGTCAGCCATCTGGGACACGTGTTGTGGAATGTGTATTGCAAAGGATGATGGGATAGTATCATTTCCCCCTCTCTCTAACCTTTAATCTGAACCTTGACCCAAACCTTTAACCTTGACCTTTCAACTTCAATGACTTCTTTTTTTGTGTGTCCGCAGGTGCTTACGACAGGAATTCTAGGTATTTTCAGTGCTAAGAAACCAACAAATAAATGCCTGGTGAGTATAAACAATTAATATAATACAACATAGAATAGAATAGTGATTATTGTATTAATACTACTGTTACTTCGTGATACTAGTATATGTTTCCGGATAAAGCACGGTTCTGGATCGATACAACACATTGTCACTTATTTCCCATCCACAGATTGTTGTCTTTATTCAACAATCTGGATACACATGGACTATCCAGGATTCAACACCCCATGACTTGTTTAAGGGGGCCTGCATGGGGGGGGGGGTCCGGTGACAATTGTTAAAATTTGTTATGATTTGAATTATTCTGTAATGGATAGTTCAGTGTATGTATTGCTTGATTTAAAAAAATAAAAAAAAATTCCCTCCACAGATTGTAGCGTTCATGGTGGTAGGCATATTCGTGATCCTGGCGTGTGTTTGCTGCATCGCCATCGCGGCTCTGGGCATTGTGCTGAATTATTATGTGCATAACTGTGAGCAGTACGACTGGGATGCTTACTACGCCGCGCAGGCACTTCACGAGAGCAACCCGGATTTGTACAACGAGCCGGAGGTCTGGTACGTTAATGATAATTACTTCTATCATGAAAGTTCATCTGTGTTGGTAGTTACATGTTTAAAGTTAAAACCTTTGGTCCAACAATAGTTTTCTCACCTAGAGCTTTGGACTAGTCACTCTGGTCTTCCTCAGTAGACTGACCCAATGAAGCTTGTCACGTGGCTTCTTTGAGGTGTGACGTCAGCACTGGGTCAAAGGTATCTGGTAGATGACGTGACAAGCTTCACTGGGTCAGTCTACTGAGGAAGACAATAGTGACTGGTTGAAAGCTTTAGGTGAGAGAACTTTTTGTGTTGGACCAAAAGTTTTAACTTTAAACAGATAATCACTTAGTTAATGATAAGTATACGAAGACATAGTAGCTCTGGGCATCGTGCTAAATCATTTCATGAGCGGTTGTGAGCAGTACGATTGGGATGGTTGCTACTTCGCTCAGGCACGGTATGAGAGCAACCCGGGCCGGTACGACGAGCCGGAGGTCTGGTAAGAAAAATTAATGATAACAAGTAAAATCTGAGATTTTATACCTCCGGGCTTTTTATTGTATATTTTTCCATGTTGTTTGTTATGTATAGTTGATGGTGTTGAATTTTATGTGTTAGATTTAGCGTTCCTGGTTGTGTTAATACAGGTCAACATTTTCATCTGCAGCCCATACCATGTACCCACGGTAAAAATACATGTCGAGAACGTCTGAGACAGTATACCACGGTATTTGTAAGTTAAGAAGTCGTAATATACGCCGAAAACATCCAAGATTGCGCAAGAGGGCGTTGACCCCTGACCCATTGGCCCACCCGGAAGTTGGCTGCTGGCAGCCAGCCCGGCGACCCGCGCGACCATTTTCACACTCTAAGGGGTGTCCGAGACACGAAATACAAAATAATCTTACGCCCCAAAACACATACACAATAAAACCAAAAAAAACTGCACCATCTACAGTCCATTAACAGAAGATACACCGAGTCCCATCTACCCCAACGCGACATACAACTGCGATAATATTTCTTTCCTCGATACCTGACACCCCCTTTTACCAAATGTGGACGACACCTACGATACATAATACACGCCGAAAATCAAAAGACAAAACCACTTTCACACACAAGGGGTGTCCATACGCTGTCAAAACGCATCATTTTCACGCATTAAAACACACATACTAAAAAAACAAAACAACGTGCATCATCTACAGCCCAATAGCAAAACGTATACCAAGTCCCAGACATATCCGTCCACCCAAACGCGAGAAACGGCTGCGAACGTAAAATGCTTCGTCTCCCACATAACCCGTCCGCGCAGGGATACATCCCTACCTGGAGGTAATTATTTAATACTAGTAACTGTTACTACTGGGGGACAGAAGTATTGTTTTGGGTGGCTGATTTGTATGTTTGTGTGTGTGTCTGGACAGAGTAGGAGAAGTATTGTTTTGGGTGGCTGAGTTGTAGGTTTGTGTGTGTGTCTGAGTGGGCGAAGTATTGTTTTGGGTGGCTGAGTTGTATGTGTTGTTTGTGTTGTTTGTGTGTGTGTGTGTGTGTGTGTGTGTGTGTGGACAGAGTAGCAGAAGTACTGTTTTGGGTGGCTGAGTTGTATGTGTGTGTCTGGACAGAGTAGAAGTATTGTTTTGGGTGGCTGAGTTGTAGGTTTGTGTGTGTCTGGACAGAGTAGGAGAAGTATTGTTTTGGGCAGTCCTTTTCGTACTGAAAAAAATCCTTGAGGTAAAAATGCATGAAATATGTCATATATATTGTGCATTGGGCAAGTGAAAAGTCGGTTCGGGCAAGTACTTAGTACTCGCTTTGCAAATGTTGCCCTTCTAGTGACTGGATATTATGACAAGTACGACTTGAAATTTTCCCTGTAGGCACTACAAGACGTACGACTGTAGACCGGCTGCCATCGGCCTCCATGCGGCTAACATCTTCCTGGCCGTGCTGGAGCTCATCCTGGGGTTTGTGGTCTCCATTCTCAGCTGCTGTGGACTGTGCACGATGCGCCGCCCTGCGGCACAGGTGGGTAATGCAGATGGAACACTGTGGAACATAACTTTACATCGATGAAGCTTAGACATTAGGTTTTGAAACTACAGAGTATAGTTTGAGTAGTTTTAAAATTTTAAAATGAATTAATTGTACAACAGGATGTAATTCAGCCTGTGACTGCAAAGTCCTTGTTTTACCAATAACTCACTTGATTGATTGATATAGTTTTTGGTTTGTACTATGAGGGCCTTGTTTTGGATACAAAACGAGTTTCTAACTAGAAAGGCCGACATTTGCTTGGGAGCAAATACAGCATATTTCAGTCCATCACCCTCCCACGCAAAAGTGGACTATTCCAAACTTACCCCAGTGCAAAACTGGCAAAGGTTCTCAAATAAATGAATTAAATAGTAGCTATATGAGAACAAAGATGCAACAACAAGTACTTTGAATCTCGAAAGCTTTACTAATCTTATTACAGGTATGCAAAAACTAACAATGATGAGATTTGATACATTTTGAAGGTCTTAGGCACATAAAATTGAATGTGTGGGTCATTACGCACCACTTAGGTGCAATGTGACCTCAGGTGACCCGCAATGGAACACGTGTTCCATGGATCAGTCGAACCGCTGACGGCTGTGCGCATCGGTTCTGCGCAGCTCTCTCTAAGATCTCGTTTAAATCTCGCGCTTCTTTTTCAAGGTAATGTGATCCGCGAGAATCCGCGAGAGTTTGCTACTGTTTACTGTTTCGCTTGTAACTCCGCTTTGCGTGTTTCCTTGTCATACGTTAACGTGAGATGTAAGAAGAGCCGGCGTCACGCTTAATGTCGTAGATGTACATTACCGGTGGTGTTTGTTGGAGAAACGAGGTTTCAAAGTTGACCGTGTATGATGGAGATCATTCCACTCGAGATAGGTACCCTTTAGTTTTTTTGGGGGCAAACCCGTTTGCCCTATTTCATTGTCGATTTGGTGTTTTGTTTAATAAAGTATAGACCCTCCCTCATCTATCGTGTGTTGTTTCTTTTGGGATCCTGTAGTTGTTACAATATAATAACCGATAGTAAGTTGGGCTCATTTAGTCGAATTCTCAACGATTTTTGCTCGAATCGCAAGCTTTTGCAACAAGTTCTAACCAATACATCTGTAATGTAAGATATGGCTGAAATATAGTTATGTTGGCTTGACACCTGTGTACTTAGTTTTGAAGTTGCACAAGGTGTATTGCAGCTCGACCTTGAGAAAAAGTGTAATTTCTTTACAGTTTCTTTGCCTTCAAAAATGTTCTGTTAAAAGTTATATAGAACAAAAATGAAAGTGAAAGAATATCGGCCAAATAGTAAGCTTCAAAACGATACCCACTTTACGGGTGAAAACAGAAGAGAAGGAATTTGGGCATGAACAAATACAACAACAGGTTGATTTTTCATGACCTAATTTTTGAAGGAGATATCGGACACTATGACCTGTTACTGTAAATATACAACCATCGGGCATATGTACTGACATTTGTATAGTTGCACATGAATCCCACTTTCTCTAGCGTCTTCATGATATAAGTCTGACTTGGAATGGGTTTCAGAAAGTCTGTTTGTGATGAAAAAATTGATTCCTTCTTTTTATGAACTTTCGCAAACAGCGGTTGAAAGTTGCAACATTGTTGGCGGCGGGAAAAATGGAACGGGCTGCCTTGGTTCCATGGATCGAACGCAGGAGTTCGAAACCGATTGACTTCAAATTTGACGATTTTTGAATGGTCAGAACCTTGTATTAAATTCCTCTTTTTGTATATAATTGAATGTTATCATATCACGTATTATATTGCATGTGGTAGCCACATTCAAACAGTTTCTCATACCAAGAAACGAATCTTATGACATTACGCGAAATGTATCAAAATGTAGCGGAAACTCAGGATGGTGTGTGTCAGTACATGAAGCTTACAACTCAACTGGGCTAAATTTGACCACCGCGATGTGCGCATCGTCACAGTTTTTTGGGGGGCAAACCCGTTTGCCATAAAATTTACCAGGGGTCTTTGGCATCAATGTAAAGGTAAAGAAGTGGGCTATCACACTGTGGTATTATCTAATGGGATCCAGTCGAACAGCAAAAAAGACAAGCACAAATAAACGGACCAAAAATTGCTAATGTTTGGAAGGCCGTAGCGCTCGCTGTCATTTTGCAATGCACGAAAGTTCTACATGGTTGTACACGGCAAATCCTGCAGATATGAAAAAGTATAAACATTATGTAAGTCTGAGGTATTATTGTTACACTATAGGCAGTTGTTTACACCCATGCAACGGGGTCAAATCGTGACCCGGCAAACGCCGTATCTTAGAGAATAACGCGTTCTACGGTGACCTGCGGTTCGACTGGGATGGAACCGGCCATTCTTTAGATAGAACATGGAACGGGTATAGCACTTTTGGCCCTTTTTTTGCTGAAAATAGCCATTAAAGTCCCCCAAATGAGTCATTTGGAAGTGGTGTATGCCAAATACATGACTGCTATTCTGTAGACACATGTTCAAGGTACCCTTATACCGAATGTCATATCATTTGGTTGTAATACCAGGGCTCAGGATCCAAAAATCCATTTTTTGTCGAAAAATGCCCCAAAAAACCTTCATAAAAAATTTTCAAAGGCATGTTTCAAAAAAATGAAAAAAAAAGGTCTGGGGGTATTTGCCCACTCTACCTTCATGCCAAATTTCAGGTCATTTGGCTGAATGATGGCGGAGTTGAATCCCTCTGAACGAGTGGCAGGAAGAGAAGGAGGAGGAGGAGGAGGAGAAGGAGAAGGAGAAACATGAAGGAACACAATATATTTCATCCATACCATGGTATGGACTGAAATATAACTAGCCTCAGGAGTGTAGGCCTCCAGTGGATGGGTGTTTTGTAGAATTGGTCAGCAAAAGGATGTATCAACAATTCTACGGAACCCAGCATTTCCATTTTTTGTTTCATGTACATGTTTACAGTCTTCTCCCTGACGTGTTTGTTTGTTTATTTGTTTGTTTGTTTTTCAGACAGTGATCTATACTGCAGGGCCAGTTCTGGGAGGAGCACAAGGAAACATTGTGGTCATGCAGGGCACTCCAGGTTGGTAACTAGCTTTGTCATATTGGTACGTTGTACATGCTGTCAATGAGGTACAGTCAAACCTGCCAAGGTGACCACCTCTTATAGCCTCCATAGCAGGCTTATAGAACTGGGGGTTTGGTGGTCTTCGGCTGTTTTCTGATCAGCCCAGTTCTAAAAACGGGGGTAATTCAACCAGGCCAGCTATGTTGTCTATATACAATCAGAAAATAGCACATAAAAGATCCCAAAGACCTTGAAGACCCCCCCAAACCCCCAGTTGTTGGCATGCTATGGAGGCTGGGAAACTAGCTTTGTCATATTGGTACTATTTACATACTGTCAATGAGTTACAGTCAAACCAGCCAAGGTGAGCACCTCTTCAAGCAGGCCACCTGGCCATGGTGACCGCTTTTTCTCGGTCCAAAAAAAATTTCCCCATCGACGCAAGTGTTAAGCGACCTGTCCAAGGTGACCACCTGGCCAACGCGACCACGACCGCCCTGAGTTGGGTCCGCTCAAAGCCTGATACCTGCCCATGGTGACCACATCATTTTTGATCACATTGATTATTGATGATAACTAATGAGAAATCATGAAGAAACCAGCCAGTTTGCCCTGCTGGATGTTTTTGTTTGAGGTAAATTGTTCCATGTGCCACCCTCCCCACATGCGTTCACCACAGAACTGAAGATGCTTACAGCATTTGACATTAAAACATCTCGACCATTCATGTCTCAGTCATGTTGTAAGGCGACCATCTTCAAGGAGACCACCTGTCCAAGGTGACCACGTTTCTTTGGTCCCCTGGGTGGCCGGCTTGGACAGGTTTGACTGTACTACTGCTGATAGTAGTAGTATCTCACTGATATGCAAATAAGCATAAATTTGAATAAAATATATATCAGGTGATAATCTTTATCTTTGTCCAAAGAAAAATAAAACTTAAATGTATTTTCCACAGGTGTCCAGGGGAGCCAGCCGCAGATGTTCGTTGCGCAGAACCCAGGTGCTGCAGGTGCACCTGTGCAGGTGTTCTACCCCTCCCAGCAGGTGCCACCTGCCTACCAGGTGGATCCAGGTGCGGCATCAGGTGCCCATGAGGAGAAGAAAAGTCCCATACCTGCTGGATCCATGTGAAAAACAAAAACATCATCACGAAGTGCTACGATATAGCATCATCGTGGGGTCGTGTGGCGTAGCGGCAGCGTACTCGGAACCAAGAGGTCCCGAGTTCGAGTCCTGACATGCCACAGATCTTGTGCCCTCTTTCCGAGCGCAGACAGGACTTGTGCATGGACTTTGCCCTCAAAGTCAGCAAATCTTCGCGCTTCTCCTCCTGGCTACCCCCAACACGAAAGCAGAAACACCAAAGGCGACAAACCCGTCGCTACCAGCTACCTATTGGGACCAAACGCTTCCTGAACAGTCCCGTCCCAGCCATATGCTGAAACTGTTGAACTCTTGACTCACAGGTTTAAAACCTTTCCCGCCTTAACTGTTAAGATTCTGCAAAATTTGAATACTCGTAGCAATGAGGACCTATCAAATTTCATCTTTACTATAACGTTTTTAAGAACCTTTCGATAAATTACTCTTTTAAGATATTTCAATATTTGTAATAACAGTATGGTATATTTAAGATTTTAAACAATTGTTAAATTTCATCCCTATGTGTGCAAACAGCTGTAAAGCCCATTTGTAATCGTAATAATGTTGTACTTTGTAACCAGACCCAACAATTCAGCCGAATGCATCTCGGCTGCCAGTGGGTCTTGGGATTTATTTGTTTATCAACAATAAACCAGTCTATATATCGTTTAGCTTGGAGCCAAGAGGTCCGGGATTCGATCCCCTGACCTGCCCTGATGTTATACCCTTGGGAAATGCGTTTTACAGACTTTCCTAACTTCACTCAGCTGAAAATGAGTAACTTGAGCTTAGGTTAGAGGAGGTCGCGTGTTTGGGGAGACCCACACCTCACGCACGGGACCCACCATGAAAAAGAATAGTGTGCGATGGTCCGATTCTACAAGTGAGTTGGTGACTCATTCCAAATCACTAGTGTAGCAGACAAAAGACTGGACTTACGAATTATAAATGTTTCTTATTGATGAGGTCTTCCTTTACAAGAATTGTATCAGTTGATCATATAAATGGTTTACTGGTCAGACGCAGCCTTTTATAGCGCTGAATTGATGCAGGGTTTACTTACAATCACATAATACACATGACACATAAGTAGTATATAGTCGACACGCTGATTCATATTATTCAGGCGGAGCAAGGCGGAGCAGGTCAGAGGTCACCGTCATTATGTTAAAGAGTATGCAGATTTATGTTAAGGATATGCAGATGCATGCAGGAATGTAGCTAATGAGCTAATTAACGACATACAATCGATTATATTGATATATTCATAACTATGAGTTAATTTATTCATAACTGAAATATTTATGTACAGTTATAAATATTATCTATGTATATTTTAATATTATATATATATATATATATATATATATATATATGTAGGTTATATATATATATATATATATATATATATATATATATATATATATATATATATATATATATATATATATATATATATATATATATATATATATGAGGGTTTGCTGACGTCATTGGAAGAGGTCAGATAAAGGTCAGTGTGAACTTTTGAACCCGGCTACCTGGGTAACCTGTCGTCCAGGCAACATTCCACAAAAGATGATACCACGCCTACCGACATTGTTACTTTGACAAAAGCTATTCAGCAGGACAGCAGGACCATCTGCTGTTTGCGGAGGACTGCGAACATCAGCATATATACAAGTCGTGTGATGAGAGGTGTGGTTTACGTCAACTTTTGCGGTAGATGGTTGAGTGAATGCGACCTGCGGTGCCGGCGCAGCGTCTAAAAAAACGCGGGAAAGTTGGCCGTCTATTGTGTTCGCAGTGCTTATACAGCACACAGGGATAAAAGACCAGCGTCACTCGGCTGTGTCTCATTAGTTGAAAGCGCACCGAAAAGGCTAAAGGAATCTGTCGTAGATGGATGCTGTAAAACTCAAACGGAAGACGTGTTTCGTTGTTTACTGCATCACAAAGCGCCTGGCGCGTTTTCAGAACACCGGCGTCGGCCAGACTCGACCGCATATACAAAACTATTACGATTGGTAGATAAGATTTCAGATGAGGAGGAATGGGAAAATATTACCTACCTTTTCACGTCCAATGCACCCAACACAATGGACGGACTTAAACGTGTGCTTGAAACCGTACTGCAGGAGAAAGAATTGAATTGGGGTCGAGTGATTACCGCCATGTCTTTTGCCGTAGACGTGTGTGTCAACTCACGGGATCTAGGAGAAACGGACGTCGACATCCTATCGAATGAGGTAGCAACGTTGATTTGTAGTTATGCAGGAAGCTGGCTGATTCATCACCGTGGATGGGGTGAATGGATAGAGATTCGGCGACGAAACATGCTCTTGTCCTTGTCCAGTATCTTTATCGACTTCTGGCTGCACGCTTTGTGCTATCGTATCGTAATGCCAGAGAGGCGCATACAGCCACGGCAAACTTCCCGTATTCGCAGTTGTTTGTTACGTGTAACAGTAGGATAACAATGGTGTGACCTGTGAGAAAGTTTGCTATCGTCAGTTCTCACATACCTGCATCAATGGGACATCTGTCGTTATCGTCGCGTTTCCAACCATGTGTTCTACATAACAACGGAGTGGCCACGACCACACGGTGTGAACATCTGTCGTTCTAGAGAGAGAACCTCTGAGAAAGTTTGCTGTCGTCAGTTCTCACGTCACATACCTGCATCAATGGCACATCTGGCGTTATCGTTACGTCCACAATCATGTGTTCTACATAACAACGGAGTGGCCACGACCACACGGTGTGAACATCTGTCGTTCTAGAGAGAATCTTTGCTAACGTCAGCACACATATGTCAACGTCATCTGTAGTAGCTGATTGGTTGAATTGAAACGTAGGTGACCTGACCTGTTGTTGATTGGTTGCGACTGGTGGTGAGATAAGACGTGTTTTGACGGGATTGGACGATCCTCGAGACAATGGGTAGGTTGGCGCCAAAATTTGCTATATAAACGCCAGAATTCGGCTTGGCAACCAGTTCGTCCGGAGCGCAGCTTGAAGGAAGGAAGATCCATCCAGCAAACATCCGTTGCATCGATCAACGCAGCTGACTACTTTCTTCTCACTGCCGGTAAGTCGTCTCCCTTTCTTGTTACGAACACCCCCATTGGGGTCACTGTAGAAGCGAGAAATCCTTATTTGTAGCATTGTGCGCAAAGAAAGACACTGTAGTACAGATCGTGTCCATGTGGTAGATTCAGTTTTGTGTACATTGTTCAGTGTTACAACTTGTGTAAATGCGGACGAACGGTACGAAACGATAGCACGTCCGTTTCTGTGTGTTTGCTACAAACGAACCGACTTGTCAGTCTCCCGCTTTTGTCATCCCGGGCTTAACCTTTTTGTTCGTCCAGATCCGAGAAGTCTTTTGTGTGCCGTGCTTAGGAATAGTAATGAGCCCGCTATGTTTGAATGGACAGTCCGCTTTCATTGTTATTCGGAGCCTCTTTTGTTGAACGCTGGAGCTTACAAAAGCGTACCCGCTTCCGTACGGTGCTATTGTCATTCAAGAAAGTGTAGAAAGTCTATATAGTTGTACTTTGCGTGTAACAGAGTGCGTGTGATGTTGTTACAGAGTTCATAAAACAAGCATGGCATTCTCTTGTGAAACGTGCGGCAAAGTCTTCACCCAAAAACGCAACCTCACCCGTCACCAAAAGTCCCACGACACGACAAAGGTCACCCATCGCTGTGAGATCTGCGACAAAACCTTCACCCGACTCAGTGACATGAAGCGTCACCACCACAAAACACGAGTCGACTGCAACCATTCACGAGTGCGACTTTTGTGGTAGAACGTTTGCACGACCTGACAACATGATGCAGCACAGACGCCTGCACGACAACCCAAGACCGGCACCGACGTTCTCGTGTGGAACGTGTAACGCGGTGTTCGGTACGGTGCGAGCCCTGCAAGCGCACGGGGAAGCGGCTCACCCCGTGCCGTCCACCTCCCGGGAACAGAAGAGGGGTGCCCCGGCAGCCGGGGCCGGGCCCGCGGCGAAACGCCGCAACATCCAACCGGCGCCCGGGGAGTTTCCCTATCAGGAAGACCCGGTTGCCGTCTCGGAGGATCTGATCCCCCAAGAGGATGACCCGGCCACCCGGACCCTTTACAAACAAAGATGGTCTACCATCCGCACACAGTTCAGGAGGGACCATATTATACAAGACACGTACAACTTTCGTCTAGACACCGAAGATACCAACGATTTAACCGAAAACGTGTGGGCTATCTTTCGCGACCAACACACGGTGTTCAAACTATCCGTGTCGTTTGGTTTCTTGTTGCGCGATGGGGAAACGGGGGCTCTACGCTATTTTTACCCGTCAGACAACAACAACAGATTCGTTGAAGAGCCCGTCCTGGTGCAAAACGAGGAGGGTGTTCGTCTTTTTCTCGACAAGTTAAACGATGCGGACCTCATGGAGCGGGCACGGCAGCAACGTCCCAACAGCAAAACGGTCTTCCACAAAATGACAAACGTAACATTTTATATTAACAAGATTAAAGACCATCCCATCGGTGCCCCCGACACGTTGCTGGACCACATCACGAAGAGCAGATCAATCATTGCGCTCCTGGGCGACAAGAACGGTCCGTACACCGACAAGCTCTGTTTTTTCCGTTGTCTGGCGCTCCACCGCAACAATGATCGGACCATGTTGGAGACAACAACAAAAGCACTGTTCCGTGAATATCTAGCGTGGGTGGGCAAGACGGAAAAGCAGTTCAAGGGTGTGTCCCTGAAACATCTGAACGACCTGGAGGCGTTGTTCAAGGTGGACATTTACGTCTACTCGATTGAAGCCAACAACAACCAGGACGCCGACGACGATGACGACGACTTCTATGCGGAACTGGTCAGGCGCCCCCTGTCCACACACAACAACATCATGTACCTGAACCTCTGCGGGGAACATTTCAGCTTCATTAAGGATTTCAAAACCTATGCCAAATCGTTCGCGTGCCCGCAGTGCGGAAAGAGGTGGCGCCGCCGCGGCAACTGCGAGGTGCACATCCGCTCGTGCGACGGCAAGGTGGCGAAAGAGTATCCAGGGGGCGCCTACCGTTTAAGGCAGACAATCTTCCAGAAGCTGGAAGACGAGGGCATCGTCGTACCCGAAGAAGATCGATTTTATCCTTACAGAGCCTGTTTCGACATCGAGTGTCTGCTCAAACCCCTCCCTAGCACCAACAACACAACCCCCAAACTACAGTGGGAGACCGTCCACGAGCTCCTGAGCGTTAGCGTGGCCAGCAACGTGCCCGGGTACATGGAGCCAGTGTGCTTCGTGTCGGAGGGCGAGCCTGCCGAAGTGGCAGAAAAGTTGCTGGACCACCTAAAACAGATCAGCCAGGAGTCGTACGGTCTCCTGTCGGCCAAATTCTCGTGGGTGGTCGACGAGATGGAGAGCATCCGACAACGAGATCTGGACAAGGAAACCGAGGAGGAGGAGGAGGAGAAGGAGGGTGTGACGGAAGACGGGCCGGGGGCCGTCGAACAGATGAAGGAGCGGCAAAAACGCCGAAAGAAACACTACATGACAAAGCTGATCGATGAGTTTCAACAGTACCTGAGACAGCTGGTGGTCCTCAGCTTCAATGGCGGCAAATACGACCTCAATGCCGTCAAAAAAGTCTTCCTCCCCCTGCTGCTGAGGTCCACCAGCAAACTCAGACCAATAAAAAAGAACAACAACTACATGTCAATCGACACCGATGACATGAAATTCCTTGATCTCATTAACTACGTGGCCCCCGGCTTTTCTTACTCCACCCTCCTCAAGGCCTACGAGTGCGAAGAAACCAAGGGGTTCTTTCCGTAAGTGTTGTGCGTTTTCTTTCTTTCATCGTTGTTGTTCTTGTTGTTTGTTTATTTGTTTCACTGTTGATGTGATTAAGACCTGTTACACCGAACGATGACGTCTTTTTGTCCCCTCTATGTGACAGATACGAGTGGATGGACAGTCTGGACAAGCTAGACGAGCCCCGCCTCCCGGGTCCTGACGCGTTCCACAGCAAGCTGAGGGACTCGGACATCGAGGCGGAGGACTACCAGTACTGCCTCCAAGTATGGGAAGACCAGAGCATGACCACCATGAGGGACTTCCTCGTGTGGTAGGTGTACATGTGACAGTATGTGTCTTTGCGTGTGTGTGTGCTGTCTTTATCGATGTGTAGAACACCGTCGTCAACAGAAGATTAATCTTTTTTTTTTTTCTTTGTTCCTGCAGGTATAATAACAAGGACGTCGGCCCCATGGTAGATGCCGTCCAGAAGATGTTCGATTTCTACAAAGATCTAGGAATCGACATGTTCAAGGACGGCATCAGCGTACCGGGGCTGACGTTGAAGTTCCTCTTCATGAACCTGCCATCCACCACCTACTTCACGTTGGTAGACAACGAGGAGGTGTACAGGTTGTTTAAAGACAACATTGTGGGGGGTCCCAGTATCATTTTCCATAGATACCACGAGAAAGGCAAGACCTACATCAGGGCCGACGAGATGAAAGAGATGGGCAGAGAGCCCAAACTCTGTCAGAAGGTCGTCGGTTTTGACGCCAATGCATTGTACCTGTGGGCCCTGATGCAGGACATGCCTTCTGGTCATTACATTCGGCGTCAAGCGGAGACGGGGTTTAAACCGGAGCATTCCGCCCCCGCCCGCGGACGCATGGCCACAGAGTGGTTAGATTGGGTGGCCCAAGAGCGAGACCTCGCCATTCGGCACCAGTTTAATAGCACCGAAAAGCGTATCGGTCCACGTCGAATTCCCGTGGACGGTTTCTGTTCGGCCACCGGGGAAATCTTTCAGTTTCACGGTTGTTATTGGCACGGCCACGCCTGCAACCTGACCAAAGGCCGCGACTACAACGAAAGACGCGGCAAATCTATGGCCACGTTGCGGGCGGAAACGGCCGAAACGACCGAATACCTACGGAAGTGTGGGTATACGGTCGTCGAAATGCGGGAGTGCGAGTGGCTGGCCATGGTAAGAGCCGACGATCGATTGTCGTCGTTTTTGGCCGGTCGCAAGACTCCCACCGAACACCTTCCCGACATGACCGAGGAGCGCGTCCTCCAGGCTGTTCGCTCCGGGCAATTGTTTGGTGCGGTCGAATGCGACATCGAGGTCCCCGCGGATCTCAAGTCGCACTTTTCCGAAATGCCCCCCATCTTTAAGAACGTCGACATTTCCATCGACGACATTGGCGACTACATGAAAGCGTACGCCGAAGAACACAACCTCATGTCGAAACCGAGGCGGTCGCTGATCGGCAGCATGTTCGGCCAGAAGATCCTCTTGGCGACACCTCTGTTAAACTGGTATTTGAATCACGGTCTGCAAGTCACCCGCATCTATCAGGTGATGGAGTACAGACCAAAACCTAGTTTCAAATCTTTCGGCGACGCCGTCAGTGACGCGAGGCGTAAAGGCGACGAGGACAAGTCCAAGAAGATCATCGCCGATACCATGAAGCTGATCGGCAATTCGGGTTACGGTAAGACGGTCACCAACAAAGAAAAACAGACCGACGTCGAGTATTGCGAAGACGTCGTGACCGCCACCCGAAGGATCAACACCTCCCGGTTTCGACATCTGGTCGTGGTCAATGACGAAGATTTCTTCGAAATTGAATCGGCAAAACGCACGATCAAATTTGATCTCCCTCTCCAAATTGGTTTCTTCGTGTACCAGTACGCCAAATTACGCATGCTCGAGTTTTACTACGACTTCATGCTCGAGTTTGTGGACGTGTCCGATTTCCAGTATTGCGAGATGGACACGGACTCAGCCTACATTGCTCTATCTGCAAACAGCCTTGACGACGTGATAAAGCCTCACATGCGGGAGAGGTACAACCGAGAGAAATCCGACTGGTTTCCCCGGACAGACACCCCAGAAAACGCGGCCTACGACAAACGCACGCCCGGTCTGTTCAAAGAAGAATGGAGCGGGAATGGGATTGTCGGGCTGTGTTCCAAAACATATTATTGCTTTGGCGGGGAAGACAAAACACACGACAAATTCAGTTGCAAGGGTGTTAACAAACGATGCAACGACATCGACCACCAAAAATATCTCCGGGTGCTGGAGACCAAGAGAAGTGGTCAAGGCATCAATAAAGGGTTTCGCATGCGCGGTAACGAAATGCATACGTACGTGCAAATCCGTGATGCCTTTTCCTACTTCTACCCGAAAAGGAAGGTAAAGAATGACGGGATCACCACTCTTCCCTTAGACATCTAAACCTGTCCGTCTTTAAGCAACCTGTACGCGTCGCCGTTGTCACCTTCCTCGGTGTCATGACGTTCGTATTTACTTATTTGTATATTTGTATGTGATCTCATATATTTGTACAGTATATTTGACTACTTTGTGAAATCGATGTCGTGTATCTGAATTCTTTGTGAAACCGATGTCGCGTGTTTGAATACTTTGTGAAACCGATATCGTGTATTTGAATACTTATGATCTGTATATACGTTACATATTTTTAAAATATGTATATACATCACATGTGTGTATTCTTGTTGTCGAGAAACGAATTCAACGAGGAACGAGTGTTGCTTTAACTTGCTTCTATTATTGCGAACAAACGCATAACGTGACGTGGCTGGAAATATGTGTACAATCTGTATGTACACCAAACATTTGTATTCTTGTTGTGAAGTCAACGAAGAATGTTGCTTTACGCCGCTGTTGTCGTATATTTGAATACGTATGATCAGTATCTACGTTACGTGTTTGTACAATTTGTATGTACCCCAAATATTTGTATTCTTGTAATGAAATTGAACGAGGAACGAGTGTTGCTTTACACCGATGTTATCGGTAATAAACACACAACATACTATGGCAGGAAATCATTTGTCGCGAGTTTCAATGTGTGTGTAACATAGTGACTCATGAGTGACTCATGAGTGACTCATGAGTGACTCATGACATGAGTGACTCATGACACGAGTGACTCGTGAGTGACTCGTGAGTGACTCATGAGTTACTCATGAATGAGTGACTCATGAGTTACTCATGAATGAGTGGCTCATTTACTTTGTATATATATGTATGTACATGCGATATATCTACATATGATCGTTGCAAGAATACACAATACCAACAACCATGGCAACTATACTTAGTTGCTACAAATACACTTACTCCGGAGTAAACATTTTACTCCAAAACAGAGTAATATTTACTCCGGAGTAATATTTTACGGAGTAATACTTACTCCGGAGTGATATTTTACTCCGGAGCAACACGTTTATATCGATACACATACATACACGTATGTTTAATGCGAACATATGCATACATGTGCACTTTACATCGGAGTGAGTGTACTTGTGTTTAGTACATGCTATATCTTTGTTACGCACTTCCGTATCATGTTTGCATACATCGACACAAAGATACGAAAGACAGTATGGTTTCGTCACACTTTATTCACCACTTACCAATCAAGACTGTGTTGAGGAAGAAATGCACAGGCCAACTATAGCTATACGTTACTCATCAAATATAATATCAATACGACACGTCGTTAGGAGAAGTTGTCCTGTCGACAGGAGGACGATGCTGTATTATTTCAGAACGAGGTAGCCGTATGTTTTCATCAATGTCTGCTCTGGGACCCAGCTCTTGCTGTACTCGATGTTGTAACCGTAACGAGGCATGGCAGCAAACTCTACAAGATAAAACGTTTTGCCAGCGCGTTTTGTCTCTTTGATCACGCGTTGAGGGACATCGCCTGGTTCGTGCTTGAGTGGAATGGACCAGTCTCGATAGAGCGTCCACTCTTCCTCGTCACCGCTGTCGTAACCATACTCTTCACCTTCACCAGAGAAAGATGAATTGGAAGACACGGTCGAGCTTGCATCACTCTCGGAACCGCTTTGATCGCTTTCGGTTTCTGTCGTTGACTCTGCTTCCCAAGAATCCTTTACAGACTCATCTTCTGAGACGTCATCCTGTGACGCCATCGAGACCTCGGAAGATTCCAGCGACTCCGTGTCATGCTCGGTGGTTGCCTCTTCGGATGAATTGTCGGTGTCGTCAAAGATATCAGCGGATCGGTTTTGTCCTGTCTCGGCGTCCAAGACCTCTTCTCCCGAAGGCATGTCCGTCACGTCTCCGTGTATCGTGTCGCGATGACGGACGAGGTTGGCTTTTCGACTGAACTCTTTACCACAGATGTCGCACGCGTGAGACATGGCTGGTGATCTTTGTGAGAATGACGTTACACGTTCACTGATGGTCTTATATAATAGTTGGGAGTCAATCATTGGACGGCTAAATAGATATCGCGAGTCACTCAAAGATAGATAAATGAGCATATATAAATACAGATAATGCATACATACATACATACATGTATGCATAGTTGACATATGTTTACATGTATACAGACAAAATAGTCGCGCGAGCGACTCATTCATTGCTCGGACGTATACGCAAATAAAAGGAGTCGCTCGTGAGTGATTCGCTCATTGAGTCACTCGTGAGTGACTCGTTGAGTCACTCGTTTCATTGCTCTGAAGTAAATCGTGCTCCGAAATAAAGTGTCTGTACATGACCAGACTTGCCCGATCACAGACACACCCACCCAAGTAGCCAGTTAGTATACATTCGTACAGACACACATACATAGTCATACAAACAACAGTATGAGGTCTTTGCCTGTGTTCCAACCACCAGGAAGCTTTATTCGTTTTCCATTTTCAATACACAATGGCTGACTGGATAACATCTTTGTCCGTTGGCATCTTTCCGTTCTCCATAGCCTCCAACACCTTGTCCACCGCTTTCATCTTGCTTTCAAGGTCTTCCCATTGCTGAATTGTTAAGTCTATGCCTCTCTTCATTACAGGGTCGGTGTCTGGTGCTCCGTATGGTCTGTAGTGCTGGTGTAGGGTGATGGATGTCTGTCCGTGCAAGATCTGAACTGTCACGTACTTTTCAGATCCCAGGTCATACATTTTCGGCTCAATCCCCCCGAAGTAGTAAGGGATGGTATGGCACGTAGCGTCCAGGATCGCCCCCAGTAGCGGAAGTGCTTTCAGCTTGGCCCACTGCTTAGGTGTCAATGCAAGACCTTTCTTCCCGGGTCTCATCTTGTTCACGTCAGCTGGGTCTGGGTGGTAAAACTGCCTCACGTTTATTATCGGTTTATTCCTGAACATCCCCACGGTAAGGAACACATTATCGCCCAATGGTAGACGTACTTCATGCGGCTTCAAGTTGGTGTTCTGACTGGGAGGCGCTCCTTCGCTGCCGAGGATGTCCGGAACGATCGAGGGGGTGGCCCCGGCGCTGGCGGTGTTCGGGAGGACCGCTCCGGGCTGGGCGATCTGCTGTTGTGCCATGGTTTTCGGTCTCGATCTTCGCTCCCTGTCGACGTCCTTGGACGCAGGTTTGTCTCCGCAAGAAGGACTGGTTTCTCGGCAGTTTCTGCTGCCACTTTATACAAGTTTCTGTCCGACACCCACAGACCTTCCACCAATCGCCGTGAAGTACCTCACCTACTTCACATGCAAAGTATATGCAAACCAATCAACTACTCCGGATCCACCAACGGTTGCCGTGCGGCCAATCAGCTACTACAGAGGTTGACGTTAACCACGCCCACGACCGGTAACCGGGTTCAAAAGTGCACACTGACCTTTATCTGACCTGTAATTTAGCTCATTAAGCTACATTGCTGCATGAATCTGCATACCCTTAACATAAATCTGCATACTCGTTAACATAATGACGGTGACCTCTGACCTGCTCCGCCTTGCTCCGCCTGAATAATATGGTGGCTGCTGCTGACTACATACTACTGTCTCATTTCATGTATTACAATGTGCTAAAACTAAAAGGTTGAAAACAATTTAAAAGCAAAACACTTTCATTTCCTTATAGCACTGGTCCTATTTTGAAAATAGACCATTTTCTCTAGACCATTGTGCACAGGTTGACATGTAGAAATTTGCTTAAGTTTTCCACATGTGTACTTTTGAGACTTTGGCAAATGAGAAAGAAAAACAAAGTTGTACTAATATCTAGGACAGCTCAACCTGTATTTGGTGTATGAGTGTCTTTGCTTGAATCGGAGGAAATTAGTCTTTTATTAATATGTTACATCTAGTAAGTAAATTATTGTTAACTCTAGAACTTACTTATTATAGATCACAGATGTATAAGATGTAAGAATTAAGTATGAAATGAATTTGATTGACTTTGTTTCTCTTAGATGATTAGCAGTTAGAATATTTAAATCAAGATTTGGCCGATGACGTTTACAATAAATACGTACAGTTCTCCTAATACATTCCAAATTTTCATGCTTCCGCACCCCAGACAAGTCAGTACAAACCAGCCCTGGCAGACTTTTGCATTTTTGTGCTTTATTTTTGCAAACATAAGTTTTGTAAAAAGAGATGACCGAGGCGGGCGATTGTCACGATTGCGAAGCTTGCAGGAGCGTCTCCAACAAATGCACTTTTAGAACGCCGTACAACCTAAAATTCTCAATCATAATATACTAGTATATGATTAAAACCAACCTCCAGACTACAGTGAATGTATACTTTCAGTGCTGTTATTTTCCAATCTTTGGTAATCACCTTGGTGTCAAATTGTCTAAAGGAATTTACGATATGCTCAGTTCATTTAAGATGTTTTCTAAACAATCCAAGTAAAAAGCCTTTCATTTCATGATAATTTCGTAAATAGGAAATTGTACAAGCTGAAAAGACGTTCTAAATAGAAAATGCTAAACTGTTCACTATTCAGAAAGCCACTGTGGAAAGAACGCCCCTCTTGATTATGAGTGGATTTCAAAGACCTTCCTATCTTCCGACCTACTGCTGACTTATACAGCGATCCTAAATGGTCTGAGTAATTTTTTCGGTGGCCTTCAGTTGAATTTGCCTGTTTTTACGGTTGTGTTTAGCTTTCTTCTTAGTCCTGTTGCTATAGTGTTCATTTAGAGTACTTGGCTAGTTTCACACATGGTGTTCTGATAAACCCCATACATAGCCTCCATATTATTTAGCACAAAGTGAATGCACAAAAGTAATTTTGAAAGATAGTTACCAATGGAAATTAGAAATAAAATGTGATAAATTGTGTAAAATCAGTTTAAATTTGCTTTTTAGGTATCCTTGTATCCCCCATGTGGAGCCCCAACGAATATTTCTAATTATAATAAGAAAAGATTGAATCTTTACTTCTGGATAAAATAAGAAAATAATGTCAGACGTTTCAGACGCCGTCCGGCATCTTTCATCAGTGAAATATTCAAAATTGCGATAGAACTCGGAACGGCACCGTTAATTCTAAAAGTATTTATGTTCTAAATAAACAAATAATAAGTTAGCAACAAGCGTTCTATAGATTCTATATACAATACACATGGTAAAGTATTAACTAATGTAATGATAAAGATAAGTGAGTCCCTAGATATGCTGTAAAGTAGAATCCCATGTACTTGAAAGTTCAACTCTAAGTCCTCCCTTC